TGGAGCTCTCAATTCTTTCCTCCAGATTTCCTTTGCTCCATAGTATTTATCACTATCAGATATAGGGGCACGCAGATGTGACCATGTATGTGCCAGGTGTGGTGGCATGCACCTATAGTCCCAGCTACTTGGGAGGCTGAGGCAGGAGAATCACTTGAACCTGGGAGGTGGAGGTTGTAACGAGACGAGATCGTGCCACTGCACTCCAGCCTGGGTGACAGAGCGAGACGCCATCTCAAAAACAAACAAACAGAATCAAAAAACAAAACAAAAAAAAACTTCTGCTGGGGGAATATGTTGTGTCTGCTCACATTCCAATGACCAAAGTTAGAAGGGCAAGGCTACTTTGAGATGTGCTACAAAGTCACATGGTAAAAAGCCAGTAAAGGAAGTAAGCAGGATCGCTGGGAACAATCATCTAGTTTGCTACACATGGAGATGTGACAGAGACTCAAGAGACTGAGGGTCCTCCCCAGGGCCAGAGTCCTCCTGGGAAACTACAGCCCATACCAATGCCTCCCAGATTTCATCAGCATCTGTGTAGTCTAGCTCACTAGAGGCCACAATGGAGATAAAGGCAAATAAAGACTTCACCTGCTGGCAAGCTGCAGATATTTCCATGGATCAGCCAAGCCCATGTCCCTTTCTAAAACAATCAGTAATTTTTGTATTTTAGTAGAGATGAGGTTTCACCATGTTGCCCAGGCTGGTCTTGAACTCCTGAGCTCAGATATCTGCCTGCCTCAGCCTGCCAAAGTGCTGCGATTATAGGAGTGAGCCACTGCCTCCAGCATTTTTTTTTTTTTTGGTAGGAACAGGATTTCCCTATGTTGCCCAGGCTGGACTCAAACTCCTGGCCTCAAGTGATCCTCCCGCCTCAGCCTCCCAAAGTGCTGAGATTATTATAGACATGAGCCACCACACCTGGCCCAATATTTTTAAAGGCCCCTCAAGAGGCAAAAGTGGGCAAAGGACTTTAAGGATAAAAACAAATGCCTAGTATTGAATATTAAGCTGTTTGCTGTGTTGTAACTCTCTTCCATGACAGCGTTTCTTCAGTAAAGCAGAGTAAACACACACATGCCCCAAGACACAGTAACATCTTTTTGGTAGTACAGCCCATCACAAGCAGCTGTGGCTGAACCCCTGGGTACCAGGACTAGAGAGGATAACTTCATTCTAAGTTCCACTGGATGTTAGGCTGAAGTTGCAGCCCCCATCAAGCCAGGCTTGGTGCCTGGTGTGTGCCTGAATGGGAGATTATGCAAAAGGATCTAACTGGGGTGACCTTTTAAAAAGTTTAGAGGTTAGAATGGCACAGGTCCTGACCCATCAGAACCACGGCCAACACACTGTGATCTGCATACAAGTGCCAGTGATCCCTGCATTCAGTTGAGGGGGGCTGTGGAGGATGGAGGCTAGAAATCCACCAGCAGAGCTGACATTGAAAGGTGAATGGGAGCGGCGTGACCTGCTGCTTTCCTGCATGCAAAGGACTGCACATTTCAACCTTAGACCCTGGGGTTCCTGCAGGGCATCAGCTAGATTTGTCTTCCTGCCTGAGGCGATCACCAATTATATGTGCTGTGAGGCAAATTGGCCTCCTGCCAGAGGAGGAGGTGAAGGGATTTACAGAATCTCTTTCTGATCTGACTTATTAGAGAAGTTAAAGGACACCCATCCAGGAGGCAGCACACTGCAGAGATAAAGAAGTCAGGATTCAAATTCGTCCTATCTGGGAAGCTTAGACAAGAGCTCCTTAACCACTCTCGAACTCAGTCCCCTCATCTGGAAAATGGGAATCCTAACAGTGCCTACCTGGCAGGAGCATGGCCACAATGAAATGAGCTAATGACACAGTGAAAGCCCTTAGACAGCCTGACCCAGAGTCACTCCTCTGTAATGGGAGTCATTATTTAAGATGGAAGGAAAGAAACAGGAATTAGATCAGAAACAAATGACCAGAAAAAGAGGTGAGATACACAAGCTACATGAAGTTGGCAGTGTGAAGCCTGACTCACAGGAGAGTGGATTTTGTTACTGTTTGCTTTTTCTTGTCCAGGATAATCCAAGACCAGCAGAAAGTGAAAATACCAACTGAGAGCTAAGGGCATCCTCATGGGGGTCTGTGCAGACACATCTTCATCAAGCATCCCTCTCCAAGCAGCTGGTCCAGCCCAGCTAAACTAGAGGCTGCTGTTGGTAACAAAATTAATGCTCTCGGCCAGGCACAGTGGCTCATGCCTATAATCCCAGCACTTTGGGAGGCTAAGGCAGGTAGATCACTTGAGGCCAGGAGCTCGAGACTAGCCAGACCAACATGGTGAAACCCCATCTCCACCAAAAATACAGAAATTAGCTGGGCATGGTGGCACATGCCTGTAATCTCAGCTACTCAGGAGGCTGAGGCAGGAGAATCGCTTGAACCTGGGAGGTGGAGGTTACAGTGAATCGAAATCGTGCCTGGGCAAGAGTGAGACTCTATCTCAAGAAAAAAAAAAATCAATGTTTTGTACTTGAGAAGCACCATTTGTTGCCACTTCCCTGCCAGGGTGAAAGAAAACAAAGTCAGACCCTAAATATCACATCTTTCACACTGCAGTCTTAGTTTTCTATAAAACCACATGACCTCTGAAAACACACTCCAACCTCTGCAACACCTACTCATGATGCTTTGTAAAATCCACTGGCCTTTTATGGGACATCACAGGTTTTTGGAAACATGCAGAGTTTTCTTCTCATCTCCAGATGAGACGCTACTGTGGATGGGTGAATAGTAGGAGAACCCAAGGTGTGCTGGTGGCAGAACAGAAGCACCTGGGATGCCAGCAGAGCAACACCATGCCAAGCAGCTGTGATGCTGTCTTCCAGAAGGTGTTTGCCTGGGAGGTGGCAAACACCATGGCTGCCTGCCTCCCCTGAGCCCTGACTTCCTAAATCTAAGACTAAAAGTATCTTGGCAATTCCCAGAAGTAACTTCATCCTACAAGGATCCAGCCAGGGGGCAGAGTTTGTTCAGCCACACCAGGATATCACACCAGTGATTGACTTACCCAACGTATTTTTATTTTTTTATTTCAACCAATCCTCCAAAGCCCAGAGCCACTGAAAGTCAGAAGAGCCACCACCATCTCCACCAAAAAAGGGAATATTTTGAAAGTTTAATGATAACTTCAGGGCCATCCATTCAGCTGAGTCCCAAGGAAATGGAAGACATCTGAAAATGTATTTTTAAATTGATTTAACGCTGAGCCATATTAAATGTTTTAATTTCCAACCAATGCAAGGCCCACCAAAACATCAATTAGTCCCAGCAATCAGGCAAGAATATTGGCTTCTGCTAAGGGATTCATTTATTTCAGCTCTGCTAAATATCGTCGAGGAGAAATCCAATGTAGCCTGTAGCTCCAAGGAAGTGAAATTAAATCCAAATGGAAACCAGATCAGGCCCTGGCTAAAATGGTGCCTTTTCTTACACTGCCTCTCTCTGGCATCTCTCTAAAGCGAGGGCAGCAACTTGTTTGTAAGGGCCTCGTGCTATTAACAAAAAAACACCCTTCGGCCAGGCACAGTGGCTCACGCCTGTAATCCCAGCACTTTGGGAGACCAAGGCGGGTGGATTGCTTGAGTTCAGGAGTTCAAGACCAGCCTGACCAGCATGATGAAACCCCCATCTCTACTAAAAATATAAAAAATTAGCCAGGCATGGTGGCAGGCACCTGTAATCCCAGCTAATCAGGAGGCTGAGGTGGGAGAATTGCTTGAACCCCAGAGGCAGAAGTTGTAGTGAGCTGAGATCGCAGGCTACTGCTCTCCAGCCTGGGCGACAGAGAGAGACTTCGCCTCAAAAAAAAAAAAAAGAAAAGAAAAGAAAAACCACTTCATTCCACACAGGTTCTCTGTCTCCAAGCTGGAAAACAAAAGAGGCTGCAATGGGACAGAGAAAGGCTCCCTGCTGAGGAGATGGGTGGGCTTAAGAATTCGCAAGATTAAAAATCAAAACAATTGAACCAGTGGAGACAGAGTAGGACAGTGACCAAAGGCTGGAAAGAGTAAGGAGAGAGTCTGAGGGGAGGAGGGAGATGGTTAATGGGTACAAAAAAATAGAAAGAATGAATAAGACTTACTGTTCAATAGCACAACAGGGTGACTATAGTCAATAGATTATTTTTAAGTTTTTTTTTTTTTTTTTGAGACAGAGTCACTGTCACCCAGGCTAGAGGGCAGTGGTGCAGTCTCTGCCGACAGCAACTCTGCCTCCCAGGTTCAAACCATTCTCCTGCCTCAGCCTCCCAAATAGCTGGGATTACAGGCGCCTGCCACTATGCCTGGCTAATTTTTGTATTTTTAGTACAGACAAGGTTTCATCATGTTGGCCAGGCTGGTCTTGAACCCCCAACCTCAGGTGATCCACCCACCTCGGCCTCCCAAAGTGCTGGGATTACAGGCATGAGCCACCCCACCCAACCCTATAGTCAATAGTAATTTAATTGTACATTTAAAAATAACTAAAAGAGGCCAGGTGCAGTGCCTCACCTGTAATCCCAGCACTTTGGGAGGCCAAGGCAGGTAGATCACAAGGTCAAGAGATTGAGATCATCCTGGCCAAGATGGTGAAACCCCATCTCTACTAAAAATACAAAAATTTGCCTGGCATGGTGGTGCATGCCTGTAGTCCCAGCTACTTGGGAGGCCTCTGAGGCAGGAGAATCGCTTGAACCTAGGAGGCAGAAGTTGCAGTGAGCTGAGATCGTGCCACTGCATTCCAGCCTGGAGACAGAGCGAGACTCCATCTCAAAAAATAAAAAATAAAAATAACTAAAAGAGTTTAATTGGATTGTTTGTAACATAAAAGATAAAGCCTTGAGGTGATGGATACCCCATTTTACATGATGTGATTATTACACATCACATGCCTGTATCAAATATCTCATGTACCCCATAAATATATATATACCTACTATGTACCCACAAAAATTAAAAATTTTAAAAATTAAAAATAATTTGCAATATTATGTTTAATAATTGTTTTTCCTTTTGGTGCCTTTTAACCACCAAGGCCCCGGGGTGTCCCTGCCTTAGGTGAGGGTCTGGATCCAGGGAAGGGTCTCCCACCATCTGGAGCGTCCTGTCTCTACACATGTTGGCCAGTTGCAGGGGGCAACACAGGATGATGCGCTCAGGCCACTCACCACAGGATCTTGGCCATTAGAACCAGCAGGGGACAACCAAGCCAAAGATCCCACAACAGGGGAGCTCCTGAAAGCAAACACAAAGTAAGAGCGTACATGAAGTAGAAGCAGCAAGCAGAAAGTGGACACATCACATCCAACTCCCCAAGTCTCCCTCTGGGGCCACTTGATGCAGAACCTTGATTTTGTTCATCTCTGAAATGGGAACAATGACCCCCAAAGAGGAGGAGAGGCGGGGTAGTAAGAATTCAATGAGATTGTGTGAGTCAACATGTACTAGATCTGCCTTGCTCATAAGAGTCACCCAAGGGAGCTTGTTAAAAAACGCCAATGCCAGGGTCCCCTGGAGATTCTGATTTAGCAAGTCTGCCAGGAGGCCCAGTCATTTGTATTTTAAGCATCTCTCCTAGGTGATTCTGATAATTAAGCAAGTTTAGGAAACAAAAGATTAGGGTCTGGTCCATAGGAAGAGCTCCCCCAATGACAGCCCTCACTTAGGTCTTTAGGGTGAGTGAAGAAGGGGCATCCAGGATCTTGCCCAGCTGGGGACATGCAGGGAATATCTTTTTTTTTTTTTTGAGACTGAGTCTCATTCTGTCACCAGGCTAGAGTGCAGTGGTGAGATCTCGGCTCACTGCAACCTCTGCCTCCCGGGTTCAAGCCATTCTCCTGCCTCAGCCTCCTGAGTAGCTGGGACTACAGGCGTGTGCCACCACGCCCAGCTAATTTTTGTATTTTTTTAGTAGAGATGGGGTTTCACCATGTTGGCCAGGATGGTCTTGATCTCTTGACCTCATGATCTGCCCTTCTCAGTCTCCCAAAGTGCTGGGATTACAGGTGTGAGCCACCGCGCCCAGCCTTAAGGAATATCTTTTTAAGGGGCCCTTGTCACTTTCTGACACTGCTGTTTCAAGAGAAAACCAGTCCCAACTTTCTGCAGGGGATTTGACAACATCCATAAAATAAATAAATAAATAAAATTTTTAAGACAGAGTCTCGCTCTGTCACCCAGGCTGGAGTGCCGTGGCACGATCTTGCCTCACTGTAGACTTTGCCTCAAGTGATTCTCCTACCTCACCTTCCCTAGTAACTGGGACTAAGTCACGTGCCACCACATCCAGTTAATTTTTGCATTTTGGGCAGAGACGGAGTTTCACCATGTTGGCCAGGCTCGTCTCGAACTTCTGACCCCAAGTGATCCGCCTGTCTCGGCCTCCCAAAGTGCTGGGATTACAGGCATGAACTGCCACACCGGACCAACATTCATCAAAATTATAAATGCACAGACCCTGTGATCTAGCAATCTCACTTTGAAGAGTTTATCCTACAGAAGACGTACTTGCACAGATGCAAATTATATCAGGGCAGGGACTGCAGCATTGTTCATAACAGAAAAAAAAATAGAAAAAAAAAAATAGAAACAACTAAAAGGTCCATCTATAGACATCTGTTTGAATACAGTTATGGCATAGCCATAAAACCAACAATTGCACAGCTCTTGTGCACAGCTCCAAAGTATATTGCTTGGCGAAACTTGCAAGGTACAAAACAAGGTGTAGAATAAGCTTTTGTGAAAAGTGCAGAGATCATCTATATTTGATTTGCTGTGTAGCATAGAATATCTCTGGACAAATACACAAGAAGCTGGTAACATTGGTTGCCTCTGCAGAGGGAACTGGGTGGCTGGGGGACAGGGGATGGAGGAAAAGATTTCATTACATGCCTTTCAGACTTTATATATTTGGAAACATGTGCATTAACTATTGCACATGTTATCTATTCGTGCAAAATGCTATAACATCTACAAATAATTTTTAAACGTATGCATATTTTATTTCAATGAAAAATTGGGGGTTTTTTGTTTGTTTTGTTTTGTTTTGTTTTGGTGAGATGCAGTTTCACCCTTTTGCCCAGGGTGGGTACAATGGTGCAAACTCAGCTCACTGCAACCTCTGCCCTCAGGATTCAAGTGATTCTCCTGCCTCAGCCTCCTGGGTAGCTGAGATTATAGGTGCCCACCAGCACACCTGGCTAATTTTTGTATTTTTAGTAGAGACGGGGTTTCACCTTGTTGGACAGGCTGGTCTCGAACTCCTGACCTCAGGTGATCTGCCGGCCTCAGCCTCCCAAAGTGCTGGGATTACAGGCATAGGCCAATGCCCCCAGCCTTAATGAAAAGTTTTTTAAAGTAATAATATAATACATCAAGAGGCATGGTTTATATTTTCAAGGGCCACCTCTGGCCACTTGTGGCTGCAGAATGGGGAATAGTCCAATTCACCATCCCTAGGTGAAGGCAGCAGAGGGAGACAGTCAAGTCAGGGAAGGTGGAGTGGAGGTTTCAGTCAAGCAACACGTCCTCTGTCTTCTCTGGGCACTTGCAGACACCATTCCCTACTCCTGGGCCACTATCAACCTGGCTAAGCCCATATTCTTCTCACCTTGTGCCTCACCTGAGACATCACTGACTTGAGGAGTCTTCCTGACCCAGGTGTGTTCCCGGTGTGTTCCCCATTTCAGCACCCAGCCCCCTGCCTCATGCTCACCAGAGTACATGTCTTCCCACCCCGCCAGGCTGCCCCAAGAATTCAGTGAGGGCAGGGAACATCACTGGCTTGTTAGAAGTTATCTCCCCAGAGCATGGTCCAAATGTGGTGTTAAGAACAGAAGGCATCACAAAGAAATGAGAAAACGAAGGGAAAAGGCGAGAGCTGTAAGAAAGGCAGGGGGGCCAGGCGTGGTGGCTCATGCCTGTAATCCCAGCACTTTGGGAGCCCAAGGTGGGCAGATCATGAGGTCAAGAGATCAAGACCATCCTGCCAGCATGGTGAAACCCCATCTCCACTAAAAATACAAAAATTAGCCAGATGTGATGGTATATCCCTGTAGTCCCAGCTACTCGGGAGGCTGAGGCAGGAGAAGGGCTTGAACCCGGGAGGTGGAGGTTGCAGTGGGCTGAGATCACACCACTGTACTCAAGCCTGGGTGACAGAGTGAGACTCCTTGAGAGGAAAGAAAGAGAAAGAAAGAAGAAAGAGAGAGAGAGAGAGAGAGACAGAAAGACGAAAGAAAGAAAGAAAGAAAGAAAGAAAGAAAGAAAGAAAGAAAGAAAGGGAAAGGAAGGAAGGAAGGAAGGAAGGAAAGGAAGGAAGGAAGGAAGGAAGGAAGGAAGGAAGGAAGGAAGGAAAGAAAGAAAGAAAGGGAAAAGAAAGAAAGAGGGGGGAGGGAAGGAGGAAAGAAAGGAAGGAAGGAAGGAAGGAAAGAAAGGAAGGAAGGAAGGAAGGAGGAAAGGAAGGAAGGAGGGGAGAGAGAGAAAAAAGAAAAGAAAGAAAGAGAGAGAAAGAAAGGAAGAGAGAAGAAAGAAAGAAAGAAAAAGAAAGAAAGAAGAAAGAAAGAGAAAAGAAAAAAAGAAGGGAGGGGAAAGAAAAAAAGAGAGAAATATAAAATGTACTATATATGTGTTAAAGACATTCTAGTCCCAAATTGACACTTCCTCCTTGAGGGAATTAAAAGTACTAATGGAGAGTTGAACAGGGAGGCACAATTTCCTCCCTATGCGGCAATGTTGTTTAATGCAATGCAAGACACCTTCCCAATGCTTCACGGCTTCCACCTCCTGAAACACTGATGTGGAGAAGGAAACACAGACCACGCCCTCGGGATGCTTCCCTATCTTAGCTCAGCCTTCAGTCACCGTCACCCTCCCTGGTCTTGTCAGATTTGAAATATCTTCTTCCTTTGTAAGAGGACCTTATCTATCTTGCTCACCTCTGTATTCCCAGCCCCTACTGCAGACTTGGAGCATAGTAGGTGCCCAGTAAACACAGGTTGAATTAATTAATATTGGACAGGCCGGGATTGGTGGCTCACGCCAGTAATCCCAACACTTTGGCAGGCTTAGGTGGGAGGATCACCTGAGGTTGGGAGTTCAAGACCAGCCTAGCCAACATGGTGAAACCCCACTCTACTAAAAATACAAAAATTAACAGGGTGTGGTGTCACATACCTGTAATCCTAGCTACTTGGAAGCTAAGGTGAGAAAATCACTTGAGCCTAGGAGATGCAAATTGCAGTGAGCCGAGATCGCAGCAGTGAGCCGAGATCGCAGCACTGCACTTCAGCCTGGACGACAGAGTGAGACTCTGACTTAATAATAATAGTTTATTATTACTGGACGGGAAGGAGGGAGTTTGCAAAGGAGCCGTTGAAATGAATTTTGTTCTGAGATTCTGATGTGATGGGTTCTGGGTAGGGGCCGGGGAACTGGAAGGTTTTTAATGCCCCGCACCCAAGGGCAGCCACAGTTAAGAATCATTAATTCTGAAGCTTGGTAGGGAAGCTTGATAGGACTTTGGGTTTTTCACTGAGGGCAGAAACCCCAGTGACTGTCAGAGACCCCGCCCTGAATCTTAAGAATCTTCCCGGCCCAGGCCCGTTAGGTCGGACAGGGAAGGAGAGTGGAGCTGGGACACCGGGCAGAGTGCGAAGCTGCTCACCTGCGGGAGAACGCGAGGATGGGGTCCCAGTGGGACCGGCGTTCGCGGGCGCGTCCTGCCAGGAGTGAGTCTTGGCGCCATCTAGCGCCCACTGGAGGCTCTGCAGCTGCAGTTGGCTGAGCCGCCGGCGCTGGGCATGGGTCACGGCCGCTGCGTTCTCCGGGCCCAGGGAGGCGATCTGCTCTGCGGACAGTTCCTGCGGGAGGCAAAGGGGCAGCACCCTCACACGGGGCCCCTCCCTGGATTTCCCACACCTAGGGTGTCCGCGCAGGATGCGCACGACTTCGCCATCCCCTTTCCTGTATCATGTGTGGTCCTCTTTAAGATGTTTCCTTAAAATTAGATCACTCTTGCACTATAAAATAAATGCATTTAAAAATAGAAAATTTTAAATGGAAATATCCAAAAATGGAAAGCCGCTAGACTTGCCATAAGCAAGCATTAAGTAGAAGCCACAAAATAAAAATAAAACAATATTGTTGACTCCTAGCTAGATTTTGTCCACCAGCAATATCTGAACACCTGGCCTCTTAAAAAGAGAGAGAATATAAGATGCACTATATAGGTGTTAAGGACATTCTAGTCCCAAACTGACACTTCTTCCCAGAGGTAATTAGAAGTAGTAATGGAGAGTTGAAAAGGGAGGCAAAATTTCCACCCTATGCGGCAATGTTGTTTAGTGCAATGCAAGACACCTTCCCAATGCTTCACGTCTTCCACCTCCTGAACCACTGATGTGGAGAAGGAAACACAGGCCCTAAAGACCAAACGCCTAAATCTGAGCCCCAGCTCTGCCACATGCTTGCTGTGTCACCTTGGACAAATTATACAGCCTCTCTGGGCTTTGGGGATAAATGTGGGACAGCATAGAGAACTCATCTCCTCTGCTGACTGATTCCGATCCTTTGGTTTGTCTGCCTGAGCACCATGTGATGAGCCCTGTGAGTGCTCCATGGAGGGAAACTGTGGTCATTTATTGGTGATGTTTGCCATGGACAACACGAGTAGGAAATTCTTCAAGGACTGTGAAAAAAGATGTCTTCTGAAGTCACTTCCAGCTCAAAGGACTTGGTGACTCGTTGGAATTGGAATACAATGGGATGGCAGGATGCCACTCTTATAGAAGGGACTCTATATCATCCTGCTTATTCTCTAAAGGCCCTGTAGAATCTGGGAAAGGTGCTTAAGCTCCCTCATCCCTTCTTCTCCTCTATTCCTCTCTTGTCCAGTTAGATGCTTCCCTGGAATCATATCCCTCTGCGTAGAGCCCTTCCCATCACCCCACTCCAGAACATAGCTCAGGCTCCTGGAAAAAGCTCTGCCCACCTCTCCAGCCTCACACCTGGCACTCTTCACTCCAGGAGAGTGGGTACCAACATTTCTGTGCACCTCCTTCTGCCTGGAACACTGTTCCTTCTTCATCACCAGCTGTCCTCCAAAATTCAGCATCTGGCCAGTCAACCACCATGGCTCACGCCTACAATCCCAGCACTTTAGGAGGCCAAGGCAGAATGATTAATGGAGCCCAGGAGTTCAAGATCAGCCTGGGCAACAAAGTAAGACCCCCATCTCTACAAAATAGTTTTTCTTTAGCCAGATGTGTGGTCCTAGTTACTTAGGCTGAGGTGAGAGGATTGCTTGAGTCCAGGGGATCAAGGCTGCAGTGAGCCATTATTGTGCCACTGCACTCTTTGGGCAATAGAGTGAGACTTTGTCTCAAAAAAAATTAAAATAAAATTCAGCATCGCCTCCTATCTTCTCACTACACACACACACACACAGACACACATACACACACACACAGGGAGGGCAGGTTCCATATACCATTAACACAGAGTCTATATTCTAAAAATTATCTCTTTTATCAATGTTGCTGACTTGCGACCCACAGGCCAGATTGAATCTCTAGGCCTACGGCACTGTGTTTTCAAAAATAAATTCAGATTGGCTGCCAACATTTAATTATCAGACGATTCCATATGAAAATGAAGATTTCTACTTCTCCAAAAAAATAGAAAGGAAAATTCAGCAATACTGGGCCCACATGGTCACACTGCATGAATGTGCTAGGGATTAGAAGCAGCCTCCACATTTAGGCAGGGCTCTCCAGTTCGCTTCAGTCTCTACCCAGCTGACTGCACTTTACATTACCTTTCTAGCCCCTGAAGGCACTGTGTGATAACCCCTTCACCTGTGCATCCTTAGGTGCACCTACCCTGGAGCCTGCCACAACATAGGCTCACATCACTTCAGGTCAGTAGGGATTTCTGGAATAGTATACCTGTAGAAGGAAGCAGCACAACAGCACTCCAAACAAGACCAAGAGAAAGTGCTTAGCAAAATGCCAGCATCCAAGACCAAGCTGCTCGTCCCATGCAGAGTACCCCAGAGGGGAAGCAGGTATTTGCTCAATGGCCTGGAAGACTGCTATTTATTGCCCTCAAACAGCTATTAGGCCGCAATGTACTGGGAACTGTCCAGGGTGCTGAAGTGATTGAAGGTAGGCTATCTTTCTTGAAATGAACCAGTGATGTGGCACCAGGGGAGTTTGTCGAGCCTGGTTTGTGTGTTTTATCCAGGAGTGGTGTACAAAATGTGTTCCCACATTACCCAGCAAGCAGGAACACCAGGGTCACTGCCTCATCAGAGCAGGCTATTCCCACCAAACACTCCCCTAATCTTGTACACAGATAGAAAAAAATGACCTGTCACTAGATACCCTGCTTCACTTCAATTGATCCAATTCCACCCTCTCAATTTTTTCCATAGCAGTTTTCACCTGTTCTCTTGTGATTTTCCTAATACTTTTCTTTAAATCAACTAAAAAATATAGAAAAACATATATACATATATAGTGTGTATGTGAGAGACAGACATAGAGAGATAGAGATAGAGAGAGAGAGAGAGAGAAAGACAAAGTTTCACTCTTGTTTCCCAGGCTGGAGTGCAATGATGTGGTCTCAGCTCACTGCAACCTCTGCCTCCTGAAATCAAGTGATTCTTCTGCCTCAGCCTCCCAAGTAGCTGGGATTACAGGCATCTGCCATCATGCCCAGCTAATTTTGTATTTTTAGTAGAGATGGGGTTTCACCACGTTGGCAAGGCTGGTCTCAAACTCCTGACCTCAGGTGATTGGCCGGCCTCAGCATCCCAAAGTGCTAGGATTATAGGCATGAGCCATCACACCTGGCCTAAATCAACTAAAATATTTTTATTTAATTGTATTTTAAAAGGAAATGTTACAACAGTCCACAATCCTCATCTGCAATTCTGATGTCCAAAAAACAAATCTGAAAACTAAAAGTTTTCTCCCAAAGTTTAAGTCAAACTTATTTATCAGCAAAACTTGACCTGAAGTGATGTGAAGCTATTTATTTATAGTCTCTATTTATTCAAATTAGTGTGGTTTGTCATAGATTTCTTCAAAAAAATATTAATGTGTTTGCTATAAGGTGTTTCCCCAGACACTGCTAGGGGTATGAAATTACATACAGTAAATGTACAGGGTGATTTTTTTTTTTTTGAGTTGGAGTTTTACTCCTGTTAACCAGGCTGGAGTGCAGTGGCACAATCTTGGCTCACCACAACCTCCATCTCCTGTGATTCTCCTGCCTCAGCCTCCCGAGTAGCTGGGTTTACAGGCATATACCACCAGGTCCAGGTAACTTTGTATTTTTAGTAGAGACAGGATTCTCCATGTTGGTCAAGCTGGTCTCAAACTCCCAACCTCAGGTGATCCACCCCACCTTGACCCCCCAAAGTGCTGGGATTATAGGAGTGAGCCACCGCACCTGGCCAGAGTGATCTTTTTAAAATCTGAGAAATTCTGAATTCTGAACTATATCTGTCCCCAAGGGTTTTCATAAGGGTGTATGAACCTGTCATATCACCATAAATAGAAAATCAGTACCCCTTGCTAGAAGAAGAGAAGGTAACCATAAAAATAAATATAATTAAAACACATATTATAATTTTAAGAAAATAATGCTTTTTGTTTTTTTTATTTTGTTTTCTGAGATGGAGTTTCGCTCTTGTTACCCAGGCTGGAGTGCAATGGCACGATCTCGGCTCACCGCAACCTCCGCCTCCTGGGTTCAAGCAATTCTCCTGCCTTAGCCTCCCAAGTAGCTGGGACTACAGGTGCATGCCACCATGCCCAGCTAATTTTTGTATTTTTAGTAGAGACGGGGTTTCACCATGTTGACCAGGATGTTCTCAATCTCTTGACCTCATGATCCACCCGCCTCAGCCTCCCAAAGTGCTGGGATTATAGGCGTGAGCCACCGCGCCTGGCCGAAAATGTTTCTTTTAAAAAAAACACCTAAAATTATACAGATCTCCTCTGACCCCAACAGCAGAGTCTGGTCACAAGCCCCTGAATTCCAAGGCCCATGACCTGTTTCCCTGTGTGATTTGAAATGGGGTCAAGCTCCCCCATTTCTCCTTGAAGAACTGAGCACCTACTTTGAATATCTCATCAGGAAGGCATTTTATTGCTGATGGCTGGAAATATGGCATCAAATCCTTGTCAAGCATCCGGAGCTCTGTCTTAGTTAATCCAGCTGGGGAGAAAAAGGAAGCATGGGGGTTTAGTTCAAGCCATCAGAACTCCGCTTGTTTTATTAATGGGGCTGCATAATGCACAGATCTGAGTGTTCTAGCAAGCATCATTCCTTATAAAAGGGCCTGGAAATCACACTGGGGAATCAAGTTCCTTCATCAATTCAGAAGAAAAAATGTGGGTCACATTAGCCCTGATTGGCCTCCTACAGTGAAACGCATGCCCAGAAGAAGCTTCAATTTACACACTTCCAAATTGTGTATAAACCTACTTAGGGGCCAATTAAATCACATTCTAAACCAGTGGTTTTCCAAACGTTATTGTAACAAGAATCTCCAAGAGAGCTTGTTTTAAAAGCAGATTTGCAGATCCATCCTCTGCAACTTCAAATCATGAAATGTAGGTTCTACTGTAACGCCACAGATATTTGCTACATGTGGCCAAGGATCATGTTTTATTTTGTGTCCTCACATTTAAGTTTGGTAACGGAGAGAAAGGCATGTTCAGGGTGAGTCTTACCTGCAATGGTCCCAAGCTCCTGCAAGACAGAGCTGGTCCACTCAGTGGGATCCCCAAACACAACTTCTGCCTTCCTCTTAAACTCAGCCAAGACACGCGTACTGCAGAGCAGTGTCCCAATTCTGGCCACTACCACCCTGTTAAAGAAGGAGGGATATAGTCTGAGCTTGGACTCTTCATCCAAACACACACACACACACGCACACACACACAAACACACACACACACACACACACACACACAATGTTCAGAAGTTAGGTAGGCTCAGCAGGGAGAGCAGATCCACCTTATTCCATTAGCCCAGTGGGATTTTAGCCCAGAGAGGGGTATAGTGTCAGGAGGTGGAACATCTGGATGGATGGATGGATGGATGGATGAATGAAGTCATTTGCCATTTTGCACATTTGTATTTTAGTAACCTGAATTCTGAGATCTTTATAAGTGGAATTTCAGTGATGTTTATAGCACACAGGGTTGCACCAAGTCCTACTAAATGAAAGCTCTTCAGGTCCTCGATACGGTAGCCAGAATCATCCAGGAACCCTTGCAAAATGGATTCAGCCTAAAAATATGAGAAAGAATAAAAGATAAACTACCCAGGAATGATCAAGGTCCCCAGGCCTGAGGGGATAAATAAGCTTTGCTGTAGTCTCCTGCCTGATCTCCCATCCCACTCCTCTGGAATCCCCACTCCAAACCATCCTGGCCTCTGCATCCAAGTTAGTATCATTAAGATGCTACTTCAACTGAATATGTTGTCTGATCTATGGAGGTGTCTTCAGGCAAAGAATCTCTTATATCCTTCACCAGTATTAAAGGCACTTGTGTCCTGTGTCTGTGTCTGCTGCTTATTTCCTTCAGTCACTCTTATGACCTTCAGACAGTTTGGACATGCAAGTTCTTCTGCATCAGGAGTCAAACTTTTCCAGCATCTTTTTCTACAACGTTTCTTTCTTTCTTCTTTTTTTTTTTTTTTTTTTTTTAGATGGAGTCTTGCTCTGTCATCCAGGCTGGAGTGCAATGGTGCAGTCTCAGCTCACTGCAACCTCCACATCCCCAGGTTCAAGCAACTTGTGTTTCAGCCACCCAAGTAGCTGGGATTACTGATGCATGTCACCACACCTGGCTTTTTGTATTTTTTTGTAGAAACAGGGTTTCACCATGTTGGCAAGGCTGGTCTCAAATTCCTGACCTCAAGTGATCTGCCCACCTTGGCCTCCCAAAGTGCTGGGATTACAGGCATGAGCCACCACGCCCAGCTTTTCCACAACCTCTCCACAAAACCTTATAATTTCATGTACTTTTGCCTGTGCTCAAACCAGTCCTTTCATATAAAATGCCCCTCTGCACTTCCAAGTGTTAAAATCCAGCCATCTTTTTTTTATTTTTTTGATCCAACTCAAATGTCACCTTTTCAAAACGTTTCAGCCAGAATGAATTTTTCCTCCTCTATGGTCCTACAAAAATATGTTTGTCCCTTCAATTCCAACGTTTACTCTTCAATTCCACAGAGTAGCACAAAAAATGCTTTAGTGTTGGAGCATTTTAAACTAAGCCTTGATCTAAGGTGGCTGATGCATAGGTCTCCATAATTCTAGCACAGTGGCTATTCATCACTTATAACGTCCTCTGGAGAACCACCTCTCTTGTATTCCTACTTCATGTGGTTCAGTCAAAGCTAGCTGCATACTGAGTTGCAGAAGTAATAGCACTCAATTCATATCTTAGCCTAGCTGAAGTCACTCGTTCTGGATTGGACAAGTGATTCAACCAGAGCCAACCAGAACTCTGAGTGGAACATTAGGAGCAAATCTTTCTTTACTCTGGACTTGAACTTAGAAGGATATACACAAGAATCTGCTGGAACCCATCATGTGGAGGAGAAGAGCCTGCCTCTCAATGAAGCCAACAAAAAGAAAAGCAAAATTCAAAAGCATGATGAGAGACAGAGTCCCACCAAGAGTTTTGAAGATCCTGGATCCAGCTGTACCTGAACCCTACCCCTGAACTTTCCAGTTATGGGAGTCCATAGATTCCTTTTTTTTTTTTTTTTTTTTTTTTTTGAGACAAGGTCTTACTCTGTTACCCAAGCTGGAGTGCAGTGGCATGATCTCTACTCACTGCAACCTCCCTCTCCCAGATTCAAGAGATTCTCGTGCCTTAGCCTCCCAAGTAGCAGGATTACAGGCAAGAACAATCACAGCAGGCCAATTTTTTGTATGTTTAGCAGATACGTAGTTTTGCCATGTTGGCCAGGCTGGTCTCAAACTTCTGACCTCAAGTGATCTGCCCATCTTGGACTCCCAAAGTGCTGGGATTGCAGGTGTGAGCCACTGTGTACCATGCCCGACCCCTTTTCTTAATCAAGCCAATTTGTGCTGGGTTTTCTGCCACTTGTAACTAAACATGTGCTGATTCATTTAATCTACCTATGCAGGACCTGAGGAAGTATCCAAGCCAATCCTATAAAGATCAACTGTAAAATAAAGTCTGGGCTGGGCGCAGTGTCTCACACTTGTAATCCCAGCACTATGGGAGGCTGAGGCAGGAAGATCACTTGAGGTCAGGAGTTTGAGACCAGCCTGACCAACATGGTGAAACCTTGTCTCTACAAAAAAAATACAAAAATTAGCCAGGTGTGGTGGCACATACCTGTGGTCCCAGCTACTTGTGAAGCTGAGGTGGGAGGATTGCTTAAGCCTGGGGGGTGGAAGTTGCAGTGAACCAAGATCACACCATTGCACTCCAGCCTGGGTGACAGAGTAAGACTATCTCACAAAATAAATAAAGTCTGATTCCTTCAGTGCTCATGGGAGCAGGTAAAAGAGATTATAAGAGCTCACAAGGCAGAGATGAGGAGACATCCATGGACAAACATCTAATTGGAAGTGAAAATCATAGGCTATAGTCAATATTCCCCCCCACCCTTTTTTTTTTTTTTTTGGAGGCAGAGTCTCCCTGTGTTGCCCAGGCTGGAGTGCGGTGGCATGATCTTGGCTTACTGCAACTTCCAACTCCCGGGGTTCAAGCAATTCTCATGCCTCTGTCTCCTGCGTAGCTGGGATTACAGGCACCCGCCACCATCCAACTAATTTTTTATGTTTTTAGTAGAAACAGGATTTTGCCATTTTGGCCAGGCTGGTCTCAAACTCCTGGTCTCAAGTGATCCACCTGCCTCGGTCTCCCAAAGCGTTGGGATCACAGGTGTGAGCCACCATGCCTGGCCCCCATTTCCCTTTAATGTTAGTCAGCCCCATCATACAATATAGATCATTACAGTGTTGAGAGAAAGGGTTGAGGAAGACTGTGGAATGTTGCAATGCAATTCCGTTTTCATGGGCTGGTGCTTCCCACCCCTCAGGTCTGTTTAAATGCTACCTACTCAGAGAAAGCAGCCCTCTGGACTCTTCCATCTCAAACAGCCTCTCTTCCCATTGTTCCTGTGAGAACCTTGTCCATTTTCTCTAACACTTGTCATGATTTTTCAAATTTTTCACTTTGATAACTCACTTTTTTGTCTGTATCACCAAATAGGCTCCCCAAAGAAAAGGACCACATCCAGGTAGTTCACCATTGAGTCCCCAGCACCTAGCAAAAAGCCTGCCACACAGTAGGAGTTCAATAAGTACTTCTTAAGTAAATGAATGAATGAATGAAATAACATCCCAGTGAGTCACCTACAGAAGTCACAGGCAATATATACTCCTTGACATGCTTCATTTTGCTGCCTCATGTGATAGACTGGCTTCAGGAAGATTTCTCATGTTTCTGAAAATCAGACTGGTCCATGTCCTCATCAAATTGTCCTCTGTGATTACAAAGCTCACAGCTACTATGGGGGTGGGGGATTCAGTAACACCATGCTTAGACTTAAACGTCTTTGACTTAATGGGAATGTACATCCAAACTGGTAATAGCTAACATTTATTGAGTGCCTACTGTGTGCTGGCACTACTTTGGCCACTTTACGCATACCGTCTCATCTAATCCTCCTAAATAACCCTATGAGGTAAGTGTTAATAGTATCCCTAATTTGCAGATGAGCAAACTGAGGCACAGAGAGGTTAAGTAACTAGTCCAAGGTCACACAGCTAGAAAATAAAGGTTCTAGAATCAAAATGCAGGCAGTCTGATTCCAGGGCCTATACTCAGCCAGTGAAGGTGTTTGGCTATGGAGAAAAGATGGAGATTCAAGTTAGCTTTCAAATTTTTCTTAGTAAGTCTTCACAATCAGGTTTTACTAGTTGGCTCAGAGCAATTTGGGCTCCTCAACTATCAGGCATGCTCAATTTAAAATGCAAGTACAAAAATACAATTTAAATAAAATTACTTTGAAGATATGGTATTAAACTGTCCTTGCCACTGAAACCCAGAAAATGCATGCTCAGCCTGCAAGGTGATAAGTTAAAATATATTTCCTTGAATGACTAGACCAGCGTATATGTAATGATTCCAAGACAATTAATACCAACACTTTTAGGCAATATTAACTGCTGAAAAATGAGTAGCTGTAAGATTTCAATCTTTCTCTTCATCCCTCTGGCTTCTATAATAGTTTTTTTCCTTATATTGGTTTTTGAGCTGAACTATCTGTTAAGGTAGTTCCGTCAGGTCTGACTATTAATCTAGAAACATGCATTTAAGGTTTGATTGGGAGCTAAAGTTGGAGAACTGACTGCAAATGATACATGCAAATGTTAGGTTTTCATATCGTCTTCAAACATATTGATAAATCTCACTGCCATCCATGAGAATTAAAATCGGTGTGAAGGGAAAGAGATACCCTAGTTTCTAAGTTGGATGCATTTTTCTGTTTCTCCCAGACTGCAAATAGAATGATTTTAATAGCACAATGTGATGTGACACTTCTCAAACTAGTTAAAACCAGTTTTAGAGTCAAAGAACCATGGGATTATAGAAAATCAGATGGGAAGGAACCTCAGAGTGTTGGGGCTAACCCTCTGATCTTGCAAATGAGGAGACTAATCCACAGAAAGGGGCTGTGATGATGATGCTGATGATGATGATGATGATGACAAGGCAAGGATATCAATATTGACTATGAAAACAGCTCATTTTTATTGACTACTACGTACCAGACATTGTTCAAAATGTCTTCAAGTATTAACTCATTTAATCCTCATGACCAGAATCTGCATATTACCCAGCCCCAGGGGGCACCATTCACACTGTATTCTGTTTGAATGGTGCCACTCAGAATTATGAGACATGGCAACTGTGATTACAAAAAGCTCGTTAAGTGTAGGGGGCCATTCACTGGTTTTGGCTGCTCAGCAGCCACACTTTTTGTTCGGAGAATTGCCCTCTATTAGCTTCTTATTGCTCTACTCTACCAAATTACCACAAACATAGTGGCTTTAAAAATACAAATTTATTCTCTTATAGTTTTGGAGACTGTAAATCCTAAAATGGACTGGAAGGATGGGTTCCTTCTGGGTGTTCTAAAAAGAATTCATTTCCTTGCTTCTTCTAGCTTTAAGAGGCCACCTGCCTTCCCTTGGCTCATAGCCCCAACCTCCATCTTCAAAACCAGCGAAGGAGCACCTTCAATTCTCTTTCTACATCCCTCTGCTTCCATTATTACATCACCTTCTTTATCTATGACCCACCTTGCTCCCTCTTATAAGGACCCTTGTGATTATATCAGGCCCACCCAAATGATCCAGGATAACCTCCCCATCTTAAAATCCTTAATCACATCGTCAAAGTCCCTTTTGCTGCATGAGTTAATATATTCACAGCTTCCAGGGGTTCAGACATGAACGCCTTTGGGGGACCTTAATCAGCCTGCCACATATCCTTCCCCACTCAGCTCATGTAATCATGAGATGGTGATGAGATGGACTCCATTCCCTGATGCAGACCTGGCCAACCAACGTATTCAACCACTGACCAGAGTGGTTGCTCAGGGGTGGGCAACTGCACGGGTGAAGTCAATGCTGGGACTTTTTCAAAAACTAATAAAGAAGAGGCACATTTTTATGAGCTTGTTAAGTAGGTTCTATATAAGCCTAGAGCTGAAAATGAGCACTGAGAAAGCTGCCTAAGAATGAAGATAATATGGAAGAGCTAAGACTTCCCTTTCCAGCAGTACAGTGGATTAGACACCCTAAACTTCTCTTCCAATCAAATCAATTAAAATTCTACAGAGAACTTCTTCTTTAGCCCATGAAGGATGAGTTGACATAGGAATTGTCCTCCCACCATAAACAACTAGAAAATTGAACAAAATATATCCAACAACTGCATCCGGATATTGAACAACACAGAATCATCATCCCAGAAGAAGAAAAACAAACAAGATGAACTCTAAAATTATCCTCACTTACTGCCAAAAAGCAGTTTCCAGGACATGGATCAAGAAGAGGAACACAACAAGCCCAGTGGTCCAGGTGAGTTGAAGATACGGAAGGCCAGGGCACTTATCACTTGTGAGGCAAAGTATTGGAGATGAGGAAACTGCAGAGAGTTCCAGAAATCTGCAGAGATGTTAAGTACTGATTGCTAATTTGCATATGCGAAGAGTGAGACTCCACACAGGCAGGAAAAGAATCATCAGTAATCAGAAAGGATTAAGCTGAACAACTTACAGAGCTCAGGTGGAGCTGGAAATAGTTCACTTTCTCACCAGCCAGAGTAGAGGTCTTGAAATACATGGAGCATTAGGTAACATCCTCAAAGGAATCATGTCACAGTAATGAGGATAAATTAACCATAGAATAAAGGTCACTCTAGACTTGCCCTAATAAAGCTCAAAAGGAAACATCAAAAGGATCAAGCTGATTTGAAAGTAATTTAAGTGTATGACGGAACAAAGCCCAATTCTCTAAAGAAATACAGCTAAATCAAGTATTCAAAATGTAAAATTCACAATGTTCATCACCCAATCAAAGTTGCTGTGCTTGCAAACAAAAAAGGAAAATATGACCCATAACTAAGAGAAAAATCAGTCAAGAGAAACAGACTCAGAAATGACAGTGATGATGAAATTAACAGTAAGGATATGAAGGCAGCTCTTACAAGCACAGAATAGTTAAAAGACTCATAAACATCTACCCACCTGTCCTGGGGTCCATTCTGTTTGCTGGCTTAGGGAAACCACAGTGTCTATGGAGCTGAGGTCCAGCTGCTTCAGCTCACTCTCATTAAGAGCCAAAGCAATGCGCCCCAGGGAAACAATATGGTGCTCTCTCCAGTAAGAAGGCATGTCCCAAACCTATAGGTGAAAATGAAAGCAGATTAGATTGAACACACTGGTGATGGTATCTACTATGATTTGAATGTTTGTGTCCCCCTAAAATTCATATGTTGAAACCTAACCTCCAATGTGATAGTATTAGAAGATTGGGGCTTGGGAGATGATTAGGTCATAAGGGTGGAGCCCTCATGAGTGGGATTAGTGCCCTTGTAAAAGAAACCCCAGAGAGCTAGCTACATGCTAGCCCCTTTCCACCATGTGAGGACACAGTGAGAAAGCACTATCTATGAAAAGCAAACCCTTATCAGACATTGGATCTGCCAGTGCTTCAATTTTCAACTTTTCACCCCCAAGAACTGTGAGAAATAAATTTCTGTTTATAAGTTACCAGTGTATACTATTTTGTTATAGCAGGCTGAATGGACAAAAACAGTATCTGAAACAGACAGAGGGAGGCCGGTGCAGTGGCTCAAGCCTGTAATCTCAGCACTTTGGGAGATTAAGACACACAGATCACATGAGACCAGGAATTAAAGACCAGCCTGGCCAACATGGCATAACCCTGCCTCTACTAAAAATACAAAAAAAATTAGCTGTGCGTGGTGGTGCACACCTGTAATCCCAGCCACTCGGGTGGCTGAGGCATGAGATTCACTTGCAGAAGTTGTGGTTAGCCAAGATGGTGCCACTGCACTCCAGCCTCAGTGGCAGAGTGAGACGCTGTCTCAAAAAAATAAAAATAAAACAAACCTAGGGAAACCTATTGTGCAGCATGGTGACTATAGTTGATAACAATGTATTGAGTACTTGAAAATTGTGAAGAAAGTAGATGTTAAATATTCTCACAACAAAAACTGACAACCGGCAAGTGTGAAAGGTGACTGACATGTTAATTAGCTTGGTTTAACCATTCCCCAATGTATACATATATCAAAGCACTATATTGTATATATGTATATACCATAAATATATATAATTTGTATTTGTCAACTATCCCTTAATAAAAAATAAATAAAAATTTAAAAGGCAAGGTATATCTTAATATAAAGCTCTCTTTTAAATCAATAATAAAAAGATGACTGTATTTGTTTTTTTAAAAAAGATAGACAAAAGACATCAACAAGGAATTTGCAAAAGAAAAATTAAATGTAAACATTTTTTACATTGTTTACTGAAAAATTTATTAACTTTTCATAATTAAAAGTCATAAAGAAATATACATTAAAAACACTCAAAGAAGACCATGTTGATTTATCATATGATAAGAAGTAAAAAGAATTACCATCATTTATGATGCTGGAAAGAAACAAAGTAAGGGATACTCTCATTGTTGTAGTTGAGAATATAAATTTGTACATGATCTTAAGAGGGCAATTTGGCTATCTGTATCAAAAGCTTTTAAAAATACTTTTTTAAAGTATTTCTGTTCTTTTATACAGAAATTCTACCTCTAGGAAGTTAGCCAAAGTACCCAACAGTATATGTATAAAGGCATACCTTGAGACATTTTTTTAATGCAACCTAAAAGTCTAACAATTAGCTAAATAAATAAGAACTAACCATAAATAAAATGCAGTTGCCCCTGTGGATACCTCCACCTAGGATTGGTTTCAGGACTCCTTGAAGATACCAAAATCCACGGATGTGGAAGTCCCTCATATAAAATAGTGTAGTATTTGCATATAACCTATGCACATCCTCCTGTATACTTTAAACCATCTCTAGATTACTTATACCTGATGCAGTGTAAGTGCTATGTAAATATGTACAAAATGCTATGTCAAAAATGATACTGTATTTTTATGTGTATTATTTTATATTGTTATATTGTTATTTGGAGTGTTTTTTCTAAATATGTTCTACCTGAGGTTGGTTGAATCTGCAGATGTGGAACTCATTGATAGGGAAGACTAATTGTATTACAAAGCTATTTAAAATACTGACATAGGCCAGGCTTGGTGACTCACACCCGTAATCCCAGTACTTTGGTAGGCTGAGGCAGGTGGATCGCTTGAGGTAAGGAGTTCAAGACCAACCTGGCCAATATAGTGAAACCCTGTTTCTACTAAAAATACCAAAATTAGCCAGGTGTGATGGTGGGCGTCTGTAATCCCAGCTACTTAGGAGGATGAGGCAGGAGAATTGCTTGAACCTGGAAGATGGAGGCTGCAGTGAGCCAATATCACATCATTGCACTCCAGCCTGGGCGACAAGAGCAAAACTCCATCTCAAAAAATTAATTAATTAATTAATTCAATACTGATATAGATTTACATTTTGGATATGAAAAACATGCAGTCTGTGCTGTTGGGTGTAGAAAGCAAGTTACTGAATAGTAGGTAAGTGTGATACGATTTTTGTAGAACAACATAAAATATACATGTGAAATATATAAAATAATAGGTTTTTATACACATAGTCTTGAAGTCTAGTAAGCTTCAAGTATATATACCAAAATAACATAAGTGCTTATCTGTTGATCAGTGCTTATCAAAATATCAACAGTGGGTTAAAAATCATGACTGATTTTCTTCTTTATTATTTTCTGACTTTTCTATGAGAAACTTGAACTATTCATATAATACATAAATACAGTTATATTTATAATTTTAAGAAATTGAATTGTTTAACACTTGAGGGTAACTAGATATTCCATAACCACATAAAAAGCTAAAACAGGGCTGGGCACAGTGGCTCATGCCTGTAATCCCAGCATTTTGGGAGGTCAAGGTGAACAGAACACTTGAGGTTAGGGGTTGGAGACAAGCCTGGCCAACATAATGAAACCCCATCTCTACTAAAATACAAATATTAGCCAGGCTTGGTGGCTTGTGCCTGTAGTCCCAGCTACTCAGGTGGCTGAGACACGAGAATTGCTTGAACCCAAGAAGCAGAGTTTGCAGTAAGCCAGAGATTGTGCCACTGCACTCCAGCCTGGGCAACCAAGCAAGATTCTACCTTAAAAGAAAAAGAAAAGAAAGAAAAAAAAAACAGCCAAAACAGATCACGAAGAGACCTTTTTTCTTTTTCTTTTCCTTTTTTTTTTTTTTTTTTTTGAGACAAAGTCTCGCTCTGTCACCAGGCTGGAATGCATTGGCACAATCTCAGCTCACTGCAACCTCACCGCCCAGGTTCAAGCAATTCTCCTGCCTCAGCCTCCCGAGTAGCTGGGACTACTGGCACATGCCATCACGCCCAGCTAATTTTTATATTTTTAGTAGAGATGGGATTTCACCATGTTGGCCAAGATGATCTCAATTTCTTGACCTCGTGGTCCGCCCACCCCAGTCTCCCAAAATGTTGGGATTACAGGCATGAGCCAACACACCCAACCTATTTTCATTTATTTTTGAGACAAAGTCTCACTCTGACCCCCAGGCTGGAGTGCACTGGTGCAATCTCAGCTCACTGCAACCTCCACCTCCCAGGTTCAAGCAATTCTCCTGCCTCGGCCTCCCGAGTAGCTGGGATTACAGGGGCATGCCATCACACCCGGATAATTTTTGTATTTTTAGTAGAGATGGGTTTTCAACATGTCGACCAGGCTGGTCTTGAACTCCTGACCTCATGTGATTTGCCCGCCTCCCGAAGTGCCAGGATTATAGGTGTGAGCCACCGCACCTAGCCAACAAAGGGACCTTTCTAAAGATGGAAAACTACTTCCGGTCCTCTTTTTACTCCTTTGTTATATTTTCAGACAAATTTGCAACAGATTCTGAGAAAACCTGCTGCAAGCAGCAGCGGGGGCTCTCTAGATGGAGGAAAAAAACAGCCTAATTCCTGCAAACTGCCTTGGTCAGAGGCATTGGGACATCCACAGAACTTGATTCACTGAACATCTGCTAGATGCCAAGACACATCTTATCCGGTTCTCTACCATAGCCCTAAGAGGGAGGAACTGAAAATTTCCTCCTTTCTCAGGTAAGGAGATCACAATATCACTGAGCTGATACAGTAAAATTTCAAGATGATGTATGTGAAAACTCCTCGAGGAGGGCTCTATGTGCAGAAATGCTGAATTGGTTTTTGGTGTTTTCCTTTTTTCCTCTGTTTAACATTTCCTCCCTGAGGTGAGCTTCACCTGTATTGCTTTCTCCTTCAGGGTCATCAGCTGAGGCCGGCTGAAACCCTGGACAGCTCCCAGCAGCTCCACGGTCCTGATGAATGTGTCTTCCTCCATGCACCGCAGGCCCTCCAGGGCCCAGCAGGCATTGGCTTCGGCCAACTTGAAGATGTCATCAGAAGAGGGGGCCACGACTCCATGGCAACCTGAAGAAAGGGGAGATGCAGGAAAGAAAGAGAATTTCAGGAAATGTTAGTCTGTGTCTTTATTGAAATGAGTAACATTCTTCGCAAGTCGATTTATGCGCTGAAGGGACATAGCAGTTGAGAGCAGGAGCCCAAGGACCAGTTTGAATCACACTTCTGCCATTTCTTGCTAATTACTGGGTAACAAAGTCAAGGAAATGCCAGCTTTTTGCATAGCCAAATGCACAAACTAGGAGCAGTGCAACATTACAATTAAACTACAAATTCCCTGAGGGCAGAAAGAGCTGGTGGTGAACGGTCCTGACTTTCTATTCAAATCCAAGGCTATTTAACCTCTCTGTATTTCAGTTTTCAGGATGGTTGTGAAGACTGTATTATATATAAAGCACTTAGAACAGTGCTCACATACAGTAAGCACTCAATACACAATTTCTGTTGCCTACCTCACCCCTTATGCCTTTGAGTTTGCAACCCAGCATAAAGGTTCCAAAATTATGAAGGAGCCTTCCTATAAAAATGGGAAGATGGGCTGCATGGTGGCTCACATCTTTAATCCCAGCACTTTGGGAGGCCAAGGCAGAAGGATCACTTGAGCCCAGGAGTTCAAGACCAGCGTGGGCCACAGGGCAAGACCTCATCTCTTAAAAAAAAAAAAAGCTAATAAATATATATATATATATATATATATATTAGCTGGGCATGGTGGCGCATGCCTGTAGTCCCAGCTACCCAGGAGGATGAAGTGGGAGGATCACCTGAGCCTTGGTGACACTACTATCCAGCCTGGGTGACAGTGAGACCCCCTGTCTCAAAATAAAATAAAATAAAAACTGGGAAGATGAGTTGCTATCCATGAAAATCACAGTGGGGGTTGTGGCTTTCCCAGCCCAAGAGAGAAGAGAAGTGAGCCCGTTGCACTTCCCTTGGCAACAGGAAAAACTCATCCATTTCGGTCTTTGAATAAGGTGAATTTTGCCTACTCAAACTAGTTACCAACCAACATGCAAATGAGATATTGTCTTTGCTGGCTCTGATGTGCCCAACCTGGGAGAAAACTCCAGGATCCTTAAGAGCAACCCCGGATTTCTTGCCCTAGCAGCAGACCACCACTGACCCTGACAGATGCACCAACCCCACCTGTGGCCAGGGCATTTCCCAAGCCCCAAGGCCTTTCTCTTCTCATTGTACCTTCAATGTAAGTTCACTGGATTCCAATCAAGGGGCAAAAGTTGACCAGATCAAAGATGCCAGTTGTGGTCCTCAAACATCTTTATCATAAGCCACTTGGAGGGGACTAATCCCTCCCTAGGCCAACCCCCACCCCACTCTCTAGTGAAAACAATATCAGTGGTAGCAGAGAATTAGAGAGGGAAGAATAGTTGACTAGTACATCAGGGCTTGGTCTTATCACTGTGTCTGTCCAGGGCTTAGAATAGAGCCTGGCACATAGTAGGTGTTCATCAAATATCTGTGGAATGAGTGAACACACACACACACATTAATATAAAACAAAGCAGTAATCCTAATTCATTAATCACTAAAGCATAGCAGCAGTGAACACCCAGAACCAACTAAAGAACACTTGACCTATGCAGTGATATCAGAGCTTTCTTCCCTTGAGTGTGGAAAGCCTTACTTTTGTGTATCACATACACACAGTAAGAGCTCTGCAATATGACATGTACTGCTAGATCTTGAGGGCAGTGGGAGCCAGGGTGGTCACCATGAACTTTGGGTACAAATACAAGAACTGCCATTTACTAACTCTGTGACTTTGGACAAGTCCCTTAGTCTCTCTAAGCCCCAGTTTCTTTCATTTTAAAAATGGGAGAACACCTGAGCCTGGAAACCTGCAGCTCTAAATAGGAACAGGCATTCCTGTTTTCGTGCTCATCTGTTGCCTTTTGTCCTGCCATGTCCCACTATCCTTGCACCCATATAAACCCCAAACCCCAGGCTCCATGAGCATATAAGCAGATGAGCAGATGAATAGAGGAGCAGCATGGCAGAGAAGGAGAGAAGAGAAGGAGCATCTGAACACTGAGAAGAATTCGGCTGGGGACAGTCAGAGAGGAGATTGGTCACAGGACACCCGAACTCCAGGGGAAGACCATCTTCCCACTCCATCTCCTTTCCAGCTCCCCATCTATGCTGCTGAGAGCCACCTCCAAAACCCAATAAAATCCCCACATTCTTGAAGAAAAAAAATGGGAGAACAGGACAATGCATGGAGGGATGATCACCCAAAGTAGGCATAAATCCAACTGTGACACTTCTTTGCTTGAAGTCACATGACGTCTCCACCCAGAGTAAAAGCCAAAGTCATTAGGATTTCCTTATCAGTCCCTACATGGCTGGCCTTGTCTCTCACTCCCCTCCAAACACACTGGCCCCTACCTCCCACTCATAGGAGTGATCATGTTGCGCTCTCTGCCTGGAAGACTCTAACTGAAAATATTCACATGGCCCACTCTCCCTTGGGTCTTCATTCTGATGTCACCTTCTCAATGAGACGTTCCTTCGCAGTTCTCTTTTCACATGACAGTCCCCCTCTCAACACTCCTGGCCCCTTCCCTTGCTTTATTTTCCTTCTTGGCACTTTTCATACAATATACCATATATTTTACTTATGTATGGAATTTGTTGTCTTGCTACCCTCCATTTGAAAGTGAGCTCTTTGTTCACATAGTTGGTGCTTAATGAATATTTGTTGGGTGGATGAAAGCAAACACTGACTGTCAACTACTATCATTGGGTCTGATTAAATTTGTCTTCTCATGCCTGGCCCCAATCTGTACTTAGTAGGTATATGGTAATGATAATAAAATATCTAACACTTGGACAGGCATAGTGGCTCACATCTATAATCCCAGCACTTTGGGAAACCAAGGCAGGAGGATCACTTGAGGCTCAGAGTTCGAGATCAGCCTGGGCAACATAGCAAGACCCTATCTCTACAAAAAATAAAAAAATTATCCAGATGAGGTGGTGCATGCCTGCAGTCCCAGCTACTTGGAAAGCTGAGGTGGAAGGATCTCTTGAGTCCAGAAGGTTGAAGCCATAGTGAGCCATGATTGCACCACTGCACTCCAGCCTGGGTGACAGAGAGAGACCCTGCCTCTATAAAAATCAAATTTTAGGCTGGGCAAGGTGTCTCACCTCTGTAATCCCAGCACTTTGGGATGCCAAGGCAGATGGATCATCTGAGGCCAGGAATTCAAGACGAGACTAGACAACGTGGTAAAACCCCGTCTGTACTAATAATAAAACAATTAGCCAGGTGGGGTGGCACATGCCTATAATCCCAGCTACTTGGGAGGCCGAGGCAGTAGAATTGCTGGAACCTGGGAGGAGGAGGTTGCAGTGGGCTGAGATCACACCACTGCACTTCAGCCTGGGTGACACAGCAAGACTCCATCTCAAAAAAAAAAAAATCAAATTTTAAAAGGATCTTATTAAGGATCTGCTACATGCAAGGCATTCTTATAACCATGTTTCTGGGTTTAAAGCGAGATAGAGACTTTCATTATCCCCATTTGATAAAGAATGAAAACTGAGGCACACAGAGGTTAAACAGCTTACCCAAAGCCACACAGCCAGTACTTGGCAGACTCACGTGTGAAATCTACCCAGTCCAGCCCTATCACTGCCATGTTAAACCACTAATCCAAGTCAATCCTACTGAAATGTTTGTTACACCTATTTACTCATCAAACCTACTAGCCTGGATATGGAGTATGGGTCATGATTCCAGGTCACTTTACAAAAGTGTAACTTTTTTTTTTTTTAGACAGAATCTCACTGTCACCCAGGCTGGAGTACAATGACACCATCTCAGCTCACTGCAACCTTGCAACCTCTTCCTCCCAAGTTCAACCGATCCTCGTGCCTCAGCCTCTTGAGTAGCTGGGACTACCAGCACACACCACCACATTCTGCTAATTTTTGTGTTTTTAGTAGAGACAGGGTTTCACCATATTGGCCAGGCTGGTCTCAAACTCCTGACCTCAAGTGATCTGCCCACCTTGGCCTCACAAAGTACTAGGATTACAGGCATGAACCACCACACCTGGCCCAAAAGTGTAATTCTTTTGCCTATAGATTTTTGTCATTCTATTGCTCTGTAGACATTTAATCTAGTTCCTAGCATAAGGTCCCTCTTAATATCAGGGACCTTGCCTGAAACATTGCTAGCCCAGCACTGGCTCAGGTGCCCTGGAAACACTCACCAGGCATAGGGTCAGAGCTAGGGAGCTTGTCACTGCCATTCAGAACAGATTCAAAGACAGCCCAGAGGAATTCTTTAGGGAGCAGGGTCCTGGCCATCTTGGAAGCTGCTTGTAGAAGGATCTCAGGAAACTGTGTGAGAGAAGATCAAAGAAGAGGAATAATAATTAAAGCTCATTAAATACAGATTGAAATCAGAGTTGAAACTCACACTACTTACTGTCTTCATTCTTCGATATAACAACTTCTCATATAAATCTAATCCCTAGTCCCACTAAAGTGGTCTCTATAAAGAATCCTATAAAATGATATTCAACCTCAATAATAATCCAACAAAGCCTAAATAACATAAGTACATCACTTTTCACCAGATTGACAAAACTAAAATAAAGTGCTAATACTTAATGCTGGGCACATTCATTTTTCTGCGGGACTGTTAAATTGTGCACTATTAGCAAAGCAATCTGATAATACTGACAGAAAAAGTAGGTTTAGGCCAGATGTGGTTGCGTATACCTGTAATCCCAGCACTTTGGGAGGTCAGGGCAGGCAAATCACTTGAGGTCAGGAGCTCAAGACCAGCCTAGCCAACAGGGTGAAACCTCATCTCTACTAAAAATACAAAAATTTGCCAGGTGTAGTGGCGCACATCTGTAGTCCCAGCTACTGGGGAGCATGAGATAGGGGAATCACTTGAACCCGGGAGGCAGAGGTTGCAGTGAGCCGAAATCCTGCCACTGCACTCCAGCCTGGTGACAGAGCAAGACTCCGTCTCAACAACAACAAAAAAAAAACCACAAAATACAAAAAGTAGCAAGACTCCGTCTCAACAACAACAACAACAACACAAAATACCAAAAGTAGCTGGATGTGGTGGCGTGCACCTGCAATCCCAACTACTCAGGAGGCTGAGGCAGGAGGATCACTTGAGCCCAGGAGGCAGAGGTTGTAGTAAGTGGAGCATGTCACTGCACTCCAGCCTGGGCGATGGGAGTAAAACCCTGTCTCAAAAAAAAAAAAAAAAAATGTAGGTGTACCTATCCCTTTTTTGGCTTGGTGCTATTTCAAAATTTTTACTAAACTTTGTATTTGATATAGTTTGGATGTGTACCCCACCCAAATCTCATGTTGAAATATAATCCCCAGTGTTGGAGGTGGGGTCCAGTGAGAGGTGATTGGATCATGGGGGCAGATTTCTCATGAAGGGTTAAATACAATCCCCTTGGTGCTGTCCTCACAATAGTGAGTTCTCTCAAGATCTTGTCTTTTAAATGCATGTAGCACCTCCCCGATCATTCTCTAGCTTCCGCGCTAGCCAAGTAAGACGTCCCTGCTCCCCGCTGCCTTCCACCATGATTGTAAGTTTCCTGAGGCCTTCCCAGAAGCTGGCAGATGCCAGTATCATGCTTCCTGTACAGTCTGCAGAGCCGTGAACCAATTAATCCTCTTTTTTTTCCTTTCACAGTCTTGCTCTGTCACCCAAGCTGGAGTACAGTCACATGATCTCTATTCACTGCAACCTCCACCTCCCGAGCTCAAGCAATTCTCATGGCTCAGCCTCCTAAGTAGCTGGGATTAGAGGTGGAGGTGTGCACTACTGTGCCAGGCCAATTTTTTTTTTTATAGTATAGACAGGGTTTCACTATATTGGCCTTGCTGGTCTCAAACTCCTGGGCTCAAGTGATTCACCTGTCTTGGCCTCCCAAAGTGCTGGGATTATAGGTGTGAGCCACTGTACCTGGCCTTCTTTTTTTTTAATTTAACTTTTATTCAATTTTATTTAGGGGTACATATGCAGGTTTGTTACATAAGTAAGCTTGTGTCACGGAGGTTTGTGGTATGAATTATTTCATCACCCAGGTATCAAGCCTAGTACCCATTAGTTATTTTTCCTGATCCTCTCCTTCCTCCCACTCTTCACCCTCCAATAGGCCCCAGTATCTGTTGTTTCCTTCTATGCGTCAATGTGTTCTCATCATTTAGCACCCACTTATAAGTGAGAACATGCGGTATTTGGTTTCTGTTCCTGCATTAGTTTGCTAAGGATGATGGCCTCCAGCTCCATCCATGTCCCTGCAAACAACATGTTCTCATTCTTTTTATGGCCGCATAGTATTCCATGTAAACCTTCTTTCTTTATAAATTACCCAGTCTCAGGTATTTCTTTATAGCAATGCAAGAATTGCCTAACACAGGCCAGGTGCAGTGGCTCACACCTGTAATCCTAGCACTTTGGGAAGCCAAAGTGGGTGGATCACCTGAGGTCAGCGGTTCAAGACCAGCCTGGCCAACATGGTGAAACCTCATCTCTACAAAAAATACAAAAATTATCTGGGCTTGGTGGTGCATGCCTATAATCCCAGCTATTTGAGAGGCTGACACAGGAGAATGGCTTGAACCCAGTAGGTGGAGGTTGCAGTGAACCGAGATAGTGCCACTGCATTCCAGCCTAGGTGACAAAGTAAGACTCCATCTCAAAAAAAAATTGCCTAACACAGTATTTATCATGAAAAGGAGGTGAAGAATGGTTGTCTCAACATTCTGGATGGAGACTAGCAATGAGGGAACTTAGGGAACTTTGGGTTGCCTTCGAAAAAGTGCCATTTCTCATCTAGAATGAATGCACTTTGTCAAGACTTGGGATATTATTTAGAGACCTGTCCGTGAGCCCAGGGAATTCATCAAGCCCTACAAAGAGCTATGCCTTACTGGATCCCAGCTCACCCAGAGAGAAAGCCTCTCAGCCTATGTAGCTTCCCTTTTAGTCTCATCTTCAGAAAGGTCAGCAGTTCTCAACCCTGGCTGTGCATAAGAATCACCTGGGAATTCTACAGACAACCAGAGCCAGCCCCTAAAGATTCTGAGTCAGCTGATCTGGGGTGGGTACCATGGATTGGTCCATCTTGGAATCTCCCCAGGTGATTGTAACATGCAGCTAAGGCTGAAAGCAACAGCTCTAAGACAGTTAACTTTTAGAAAGCAATGTGCATAGCAGAGTGAATGGTATTTTCCATTTTGTGTTTTTTAAAGAAGAGTATGTATACACTCTTGTGTTTTTAGTAGACATGGGGTTTTGCCATGTTGGCCAGGCTTGTTAAATAGGTATTTTTATACCTATATAAAACTTGTTACATAGGTATTCAGGATTTTTCTGAAAGGATGCAGAAGAGATTGGGGACAGCAGTTGCCTCTGAAGAGGGAGGCTAGGGAACTAGAAGTCTGGGGTGGGAGGGAGACCTGCTTCTCACCCTATTACCTTTGGTGCAATTGGGATTTGTTAACCAGGAGCATGTACTACTTGTTTTATTAAACATTTCCAGTAAAAAGAGTATGCAGAATAATACAACAAAACACCCATGTCCTCACAACCCAGCTTAAGAAATAAAACATCACAGTATAATTAATGTCTCTTCTTCACTCTTTGCCTTCCTACTTCCCCAGAAGTAACTGTCACCCTGAATTTGGTATTCACTTTTACACTTCTCTTACATATAAACTTGGCTTGCGTATGGTTTAAATTAATTCAGCTAGTATTTATTTACTTCGTATCCTACTATGGATATTCTTTTGCAACCTGGGTTGTTTTGTTGTTTTTTTTTTTTAACTCTATACTGTGTTTTTGAAATTTCAGTGTTGATGCAATACTTTTTCAATTTCAGAAGTTTACTCTTTTAAGATTAGATGGATATATGTGTGTTCTCACTGATATGTGGGAGCTAAACTATGAGGACCCAAAGGCGTAAGAATGATACAATGGACTTTGGAGACTTGGATGGAAGAGTGGGAGGGGTGTAAGGGATAAAAGACTGCAAATATGATGAAGTGTATACTGCTCAGCTGATAGGTGCACCAAAATCTCACAAATCACCACTAAAGAACTTACTTATGTAACCAGATACCATCATTTCCCCAACAACTTGGGGAAAAAAAATTTTTTAATATAAACATAAGAAAACAACAAGAAAGGAAAAATTTTAGAGAGATATATAACATTTGTGCGTCAGGGCTGGGCATGGTGGCTCACACCTATAATCTCAGCACTTGGGAGGCTGAGGCGAGTGGATCGCTTGAGGTCAGGAGTTCAAGACCAGCCAGGCCAACATAGTGGAACACTGTTTCTACTAAAAATATAAAACCCAACAGAGCATAGTGACAGGTGCCTGTATCCCAGCTACTTGGGAGGTTGAGGCAGGAGAATCACTTGCACATGGGAGGTAGAGGTTGCAGTGAGCCAAGATTGTGCCACTGCACTCCAGCCTGGACAATAGAGGAAGACTCCATCTCAAAAATAAAATAATAAAATAAAAATAAACATTTGTGCATCAACTGCTTATGACTATATGTTTGAACATCCAGAATATGATTTTACTATGACTGGACTTCATAATGTGTGCTGTGCATGTGTGATCCTAGGTGAAATTCTGTGTGTTCAGGCCCTGCTGAGCATGTGTGACCATGTGCACCTTGCACCTACAAGGGCAGGAATGAGAGTGTGTGGATGTGCTTTGTGGGGGATCTGGTTACTGTTCAGCAAACATTCGCTCCTTTACTTTCCTACCCTCTACCTCCATGGAAGGAAACTCCTTCCTGCCCCATTAAAGTTGGGCTTGGTCATCTAACTTACTTTGGCCATTGGAATGTGGCAGAAGTGATAGCGTGCCAATTTCCAGCCTAGGGCAGAAGGAGAATTGTACTTATCCCTTCCCTTTTTGGTAGCTTCACACCTCCATGGTGAGAACAAGTTCTAGAGCCTGGGCTCCAGAGACAGCCTTACGGAGCAGGGCTGTCCCAGTGACCCACAAATCAGGCAGCAAGAGATACATGAGAATTGTTCTATACCCTTGAGATGCTGTGGCTTTGTAATGCAATAAAAATAACCAATTCATGCTCATTTTGCATGTCCCTTGGCCTAGACTGTCTAACTTCTGGAGCGTTACTCCAAGAAAAGTGCTGTGCCCAAATTTAATGGTCAATAAAGACTTGTTATTGGATTGAATGTGTTTGCACATGTGATTGCATACACTGAGAATACATGTGCATGTGCATAGGGCACCAGCCAGTGTGAAAGCCAGGACAGGTGTGCATGTGACATGCACACTAATAGCAGAGTGGTGGCTAAGCGACACCTGTCTGCACACATCGGCCTAGAGGGCCACACCAAAGGGCCTGAGTTCATTTAGCTGTGGCCTCACTCCCTTTTCCAGAACCCTTCACATCCTGGAATGGAGCTGGAAACCTCTTAGCTTTGAGGCAGGGAGGAAGCTTCCAGAACCATAGACAGCAGTAAACCCAATGGTGTATAACTGACCACACTTTCTTTCCCTTCAAACTCCTTCAGCCTTCTTAAGATGGAGCACAACATTACCTTTATGGCTATAGAGCTTAATTCATCTCCTGAGAAAAGCACTAGAAAGGATGCCAAGTCCTTCGTGGTCTCAGCTGTCCAGTACTGAGGGAGTCTAAAAAAAGATAATAGCCAGTAAAGTGAAAAACCATGCTGTGGTAAACATCTGTTGCCTTTTCTTTCAGGAATAGATTATCTTATACTTAGAAAAGCTGTCAATCACATGATCCCATTTCCTTGACCAAGAAAATTGGCATGTGATGCAGGCTGACCAACCAGAGTCATCCCTGGGAATTTTGATGGAACTATCAGAGAAGCTCTCTTTTCTCTGGTATCTCTGGCAGTAAAGAGGATTCTGTAGGACATTCATATAACCAAGTGGAAAAAATAAAGACCACACCAAGGAACAGCTGAGGAACTGGAGGAACGTATTCCTGATGATGTCATTTGAGACACTTGATTCAGCCATGCCTGAAGACCACCCATATAGTTTTCCATCATATTCCATTCCTGAATTCAATACATCCCCATTCTCTTCAGTTTGAATTGAACTATTGAATTTCTGCCATTTATATCACAGTGTTTCCTTCCTCCGCCTCCTCAATAGAAGAGCAATGATATATTTCCTCCTTTTAATTTACCATAACAGTCTTCTCTGAGAATAAGAAAGAAATTTTCTCTTGAATTTGGCAGGATAAAATAAAAGCACTGACCCAGAATCCACTGTTATTCTTATATAGACCATAAATGCCTACAGTGAAGAGCATTACACTATCTTTGGTGACATCTCTAAAGGAGGTCTGCCCAATTAGCAGTGACAGCTGGTGTGAATGCAAAATCATACAGCCACTTTGGAAGACATTTTGGTGATTTCTTACAAAAGCAAACATGATTTTGCCATATAGCCCAGCAAACACACACTTTGGTATTTATGCAAAGGAGGTGAAAACTTATGTCTACATGAAAACCTGCATACGGATGTTTATAGCAGCTTTATCCATAACTGCCAAAACTTGGAAGCAACCAAGATGTCCTTTGGTGGGTGAATGGCTAAATAAACTGTGGTTCATTAAGACAATGAAATATTATTCAGCACTAAAAAGAAATGAGCTATCAAGCCAAAAATACACCTGGAGAAAACTTAAGTGCCTATTAGTAAAAGAAATCTATCTGAAAAAGCTGTCTACTGTATGATTCCTAATATATGATATTCTAGAAAAGGCAAAAGTTATCAGTGGTTGTCAGGAATTAGGAGTGAGGGAGGAATGAACAGAAAAAGCCTGGAAGGATTTTTAGGGCAGCAAAAATACTCCATATGATACTATAACAGTGAATACATGTTATTATACACTTGTCTGAACCCATAGTATGGAAAGCACCAAGAGTGAACCCTAATGTAAAATATGGACTTTGGGTGGTAATGAGAATCCAATGACAATAATGTCAACATAGGTTCATCAATTCTAATAAAAGTACAACTTTGGTGGGGGATATTGATCATGGGGAGCTTATGCATGTACGGGGTCAGAGGGAGATGGGAAATCTCTATCGTCTCAATTTTTCTGAGAACCTAAAACTAGTTTTAAAAATAGTCTCTAGGATCAGGCATGATGGCTCATGCCTGTAATTCCAGCACTGTGGGAGGCTGAGGTGGGTAAATCCCTTGAGCCCAGGAGTTCAAGACCCACCTAGGCAACATGGTGAAATGCTATCCCTTAAAAAAAAATACAAAAATTAGCTCAGTATAGTGATGTGCACCTGTGGCCCAGCTACTCAGAAGGCTGAGGTGGGAGGATCACCTGAGCCCAAGGAAGTTGAGGCTGCAGCGAGCCATTATTGTGCCACAGCACTGCAGCCTGGGTGACAGAGTGAGACCCTGTCTCGAAAAAAAAAAAAAAAAAAAGTCTTTAATAATAATACCACCACCTTGCATCTGTAAAGGACCATCTTTTCCAAATTTTCCCTTTCATATGCCAAGCAATGTAAGTAACAACTCTTTGAGATTTGTAGGGCAGTTAACTATTGATTCCACTTTACAGCAAATCTGAAACCAAAAGAAGAAAGGTCACATTTCCAAAATAAGCATAAGAATTTTATCTCATCCTAAGCCAGAGGCTTCTGTTGGTAGGGCAGGAGATCCAAGGTTGGGTGTCCCTCCCGCAGAGCATACCACACCCCCAAAAGCCAATCACCAGCCGTTCCTCACCCATACTGTCCCAGGAGCTTGAGCCTCACTGCAGCCTTTTGCTCGGGGTTGAGGTCTGGGCAGTCTCTGAGACCGTGCAAGGCAGTGGCCCAGGCCCTAGAGGAGATCCCCCTGTCGATGATGGCTGCCGGCAAGTGACAGAGCAGGTTTCCCACGATGTCCACAGTGTACTCATCAGGAATGGAGTCATCCTAAACCCAACAAGTGGAGTCAATGGGCAGTTCCAGCAGGGCATAAGATCATGAGCCATTAGACACACATCCTGGGGGCTGGACGCTGTGGCTCACGCCTATAATCCCAACACTCTGCGAGGCTGAGGCAGGTGGATCACTTGAGGCCAAGAGTTTGAGACCAGCCTGGCCAACAGGGTGAAGCCCCATCTAAAATACAAACTTAGCCAGTCATCATGGTACATGCCTGTTGCCTCAGCTACTTGGGAGGCTGAGGCACAAGAATCACTTGAACCCAGGAGGCACAGGTTGCAGTGAGCCAAGATCATGCCATTTCACTCCAGCCTCCAGAGGAAAACTGTCTCAAAAAAAAAAAAAAAGTTCCAATCCCAAACTCTTAAAGATTTCAGGATCTGAATTGCCTACTCTGTAACGGATTCTAGAGATGGAACGAGACCTGATCTTCCCCAGAGAGGCAGGCCTCAGATATCTGGGAAACTCTGATCTTGGCACACCAGGAGCACTCAGTAAATGAGCACTGCTGTCATTGTTATTGCTCTGAGAATATTCCAGAGTTCAACCACCGTTATACTATTAGCACCACAAAAATAAAAACAGCACTTCAAAGTTTGTATGGCACTCGAAAGCCTTCAAAGCTCTTTTGCACTTTCACAAAATGACAGAAATTGTTGACATTTATTGTGTATTTCCTATGTGCGGGCACTGTCTGAGTATCTATGGGTCTCAATCTATTCATCTTCAAAGTAACTGTAAGAAGTAAGTACTACTATTATCCATTTTTTAAGGATAAAGAAACTGCCAGCTAGTGGCAAGGCTAGGATTCACTCCCAGACACTCTGGTCTTTGAGCCTTTACATTAAATAATACATTGCCCATTTCGTGCTCTCAATACTCTATGAGAAGACCTGGCATGGTGGCTCATGGCTGTAATCTCAATATCTTGAGAGGCTGAGATGGGTGGATTACCTGATGTCAGGAGTTTGAGACCAGCCTGGCCAACATGGTGAAACCCTGTCTCTACTAAAAATACAAAAAATAGGCAAGTGTGGTGGTGTGCACCTGTAGTCTCAGCTACTTGGGAGGCTGAGGCAGGAGAATCACTTGAACCTGGGAGGCAGAGGTTGCAGCAAGCTGAGATCACACCACTGCATTCCAGCCTGGGTGACACAGTGAGACTCTGTCCCAAAAAAAAAAAATACTCTATGGGGGATGTGCTATTACACTCACCCTACAGATGAGGAGACTGAGGCTCAGGGAGGGAAGGTGATTTGCCCAAAGCCACATAACCAATCACTGGCACCCAGACTCTGGGTACGGGCTCTTCCCATCCCTCAAGAGTAGCCTCCTCTCCTTTGGGCCCTGGGCCAGAAGTCACCAGAACCAATGACCAAGATGGTTCCAACCAGCAGCTTTAGAGTCAGCTTCAAGACCTACAAGTCAGACTTCCGGCCATCATAGCAGGCTCGAGATCCCAGACAGATCCCTCACAGGGCTCCCCAAGATGGCCACAGACATCTAGAGGGGAGGGGACACCCAGGAAGTTTTCTTACCAGGCACTGCTGCACTTTCCTGAGGACTGAAGTCTTTTTGTGAGAATCTAAAACCAAGGAGTCCAACCAGCTCTTCCCCAGGCTGATCAGAAAGGGCACACACTGAGAGGCTGGGACAGAAGCCAGGTAGCGGGCCCTGGAGAGAGATGGGGAGAACAAGAGGAGAAGGAACTGGCTGCTTGCTATTGGCCCCTAAAATCAGGGTCCACATGCCCAAGAGTTCATCCCAGGGGCATTCTTTAAATATTTGTTCTCCCCAGTGATGCTGTGGCTCCCTGTGGCAGGTAGCAAACCTCCCATCCATCGTGCTTCTCTTCTACGGGTGGGAACAAATTTCCCATTATGGTCCTCTTCTATGAATGGGCAACACACTTCCCATCATGCTCTTCTTCTATGGGTGGGAACAAACTTCCCATCATGCTACCCATAATGCTCCAGAGCACTGATCAGAGAATAGGTTCTCCATAAACATGTTAATTGATGGACTATTTGAGGGAAGATGAAAAAGAAAGGAAAAGTAGGTGAAGAAAGAGACAAAGAGTAGAGAGAATAAGTAGAAAGTGAGAAAAAAAGTAAGAAAAAGAAAGTAGAAAGAGAAATTCTGTCATCTCCAGTGTAGAACTCTGCCTTCAGCTCTTGACCCTTCAGCTCTTGACCATGTATTCTCAACAGGGTCAATGTCACCCTCAAGAAGGAGAAATTGTTTTGGATGAGGGGTAAAAAATATTTAGTTACGACAATGATCCGTAACCCACTGAAGCTCGACCCTACTCAAAATACTTTTCATCAGTGTATAATTTATTTGACTTAGGAGAAATTAAAATTTTCTCCTTTGGAAGGCAATAAGAAAAGTTGAGAAAGGCTGCATGAAACCCATCTGGCCTACTCGAACCCACTACTCAACTGTTCCAAAACCAGATTCGACATCTTCCCCCAAACATGTTCTTCCGCCTCTGTGCTAACCCACACTCCTTTTTTTCTTTATCCCAAGACTGTCATTGCTATATCCTCAGTATTATTCAAATCTGTTCTCACTTCTGGCCAGGTGCGATGGCTCACAACTGTAATCCCAGCACTTTGGGAGGCCAAGGTGGGTGAATCACCTGAGATCAGGAGTTCGAGACCAGCCTGAGCAACATGGTAAAACCCCATCTCTACCAAAAATACAAAAAATTAGGGAGGCATGGTTGTATGCACCTGTGGTCTCAATTACTCCAGAGGCTGAAGGAGAAGAATCACTTGAACCTGGGAGGCCGAGGTTGCAGTGAGCTCAGTTCACACCACTGCACTCCAACCTGGGTGACAGAATGAGACCCTGTCTCGAAACAACAACAAAAGATCTATTCTTACTTCTCCATTCCCAGTACTACTATCTTATTTATTTCTTCCTTCATCCAACAAATATCTACAAAGCATCTACAGTAAGCTAGGTACTGTTCTAGGCACCAAATATAACAATGAACAAGACACAAATGGTCCTGCATTTGTGGTGCTTAATTCTAGTAGAGACAAGAAACACAGAAACCAATGAATAAAATATTTTGTTTCAGCTATTAATAAATGTAAGGAAGAAGGCCAGGTGTGGTGGCTCACACCTGTAATCCCAGCACTTTGGGAGGCTGAGGCAGGTCTTCTGAGGTCGAGGCCAGCCTAGCCAACAAGGTGAAACCCTGTCTCTACCAAAAAATACAAAAATTAGTAGGGTGTGATGACACATGTCTGTAATCCCAGCTACCAGGGAGGCTGAGGTGGGAGAATCGCTCGAACCCAGGTGGCAGAGGTTGCAATGAGCCAAGATCACACCACTGCACTCCAGCCTGGGTGACAGAGTGAGACTCTGTCTCAAAAATTAATTAATTAATTAATGTAAGGAAGAAAATAAAATGGTAAAAGAGAATGATGATGGGAGTAATCAAACGAGCCCCTTCTAAGGCAGTTCCATTTGAGCTGAGACATGAATGAGTGAAATAAATGCCATGCCAAGATCTGGGTTACTGAAATAATCTGCTGCCTCCCTTCCTTCCATTCAGCCTCCCTGCATTGTATCCTCCATATGCGTAGAGGGTATAATCTTTCTGAAATATAAATCTGATGGCTGCACACAGAATATGAGTGAAACACCTCACTTCGCAAAGCCCCCATGATCTGATGTCCCTTGCTCCTCTGGCTTTCTCTCCCCTATCTACTCTGCAGATACACCCCCATGTGATTACACCCCCATGTTCCCAGAGTGCTTTGCTTTTCTTACTGACTGCTGAACTGGACATTCCCATTCCACTGCCTGGAATGTTCATCTTAAACTCTCTATCCAGCATGAGTTCAGTCTCCCCTGTTTCTCCAGTCTGTAGGTGATATTCCCTCCCCTATGCCCAGTGCTCATTATCTGTCCCCTTTGCCTCTCCTTGGAAGGCAATAAAAAAGTTAAGAAAGGCTGCATGAAACCCATCTGGCCTACTCAACCCCACCACTTGACTGTCCCAAAACCAGATTCAACATCTTCCCCAAAAATATGTTCTTCTGCCTCTGTGCTAACAGAGGTGTGTAACAGCACCTGGCTTTCTTGGAAAGCATCTGGTTTTTCTTGGAAAACACCCTCCCACGCTGTAGGTCCTTGTGTTTTCTCTCCAGCTCCAGGGGTGCAAATACAGATCAAAGTCAAAGTTACCCATCCTCCCAATCTCACTGATTGGTTCAAGAAAAACAAATTTGCCCAATTAAGGTCAATGAGAGTCAAACCCAAGATGTGTATTGAGAATCATGGGTAAAGAACATTTTTCTCTTTTCCCTGAATATGAAGCTGGGAAAATTTAACCTTAGATCTGCCAGGGTTCCCACAGAGAAAGAACTTGCCTGATAGCGAAGCCAACAGAGAAAAGCTGGAACAAGAGACAAATGATATCATTTGAACCTCTAGATTCAGCCATGCCTGAAGTCCCTCTCTGAACTTTCCAATTACCTGAATCAAAAATTCCCTTTTATTGCATAAGTCAGTTTGAGTTTCAGTTCTATCGTTTTCAATCAAATATCAACCTGATATTATAATTGAATTCATGCTTGTCTATTCTCTCTCCCACCATGAGATTATAAGATCTTATAAAAAGAAAATTTAGGTATCTGAGAAATAGCACACAGCAAGTACTCAATGAACATTTTTTTGAATGAATAAAGACAATAAGAGCAAAAGAAGGTAGAGGGAAATCAGGAGACAAGGAGAGAAACAATGTCCAGATCATGTTTGAAAAGCAGGGCTGTCCTGCAGGCCTGAAAGCTCACACATGCCAAGAGAAACGCCTACTGCTCCCATCAGCCCTGATTCCTGTGGAGCCTGGCACAGCCACAAAGCCAGGCCAGCTGGGACTTGCTTCACTGACAGACACTCATTCAGGCTTGGGTTGCTTCGGCTTGGTTTTTACATAACAAGAAAAGCAAGAGGGTCTGTGTGATGCTAGAATTGAAATCCTGGACCTCAAGGGCTTAACTGTCTAAGGCACGCTTCATTCTGCCTCTGGTTCCTCAAGAAAACCCAGTGGGGAGAAAATCACTTTGACTTCAGTGATTCCCACGGACCCTACTGCGCCAGAAAGTGGGGGCTTGTGTTCACTTACGGGAGTGCAGCCAAGAGGAAAGGTGGCATAGACAACCTGGAAACTTCCCAGTATTTCCACGCCAAACAATTAACCTGAAAGATTAAGCATTTCTGGGGATTTAGTGCAGTAAGAAGAACAGCAAACACAGATAGTGCTTTCCATGTGCTATTGAGGCACTATTCTAAGTGCTTCATGTGTGTTCACTTGTGCAATAGAGCACTCTATGATGTGGGTACCACTACTGTGCCTAGTGCATGGATGAGATCATTAAGGCAATAACAAACATGAACACAGACATTTAACTATGAGAATGCTCATCACAATTTTGTTTATATCTGCAAGAAAGGGAGATATAATTTTAACATTCCTCAGTAGGGGATTGGTTAAGTAAAATATGGTATATACTTACAATGGAATAGTGCACCTACTTTGTTTTAATAAGGTAGATTTATATATATCGACACTAAATGATGTCTGTGCTATTTTATGCATGTGCATATATATAGTTAAGCTATATTACATTATATAGTTATATATCATGTAAAAACCACAAATGAGCTATTATACACACTATTCTGTTAAACTATATATAGTTTATATGTATAACTATGCATATAGTTATACAGTTATATTTAACTATATATAGTTATACTTAATTATATATAGTTATATAGATAGCTTAACTATATATAGTTTTATATATATATATATATATATATATATAGCTTAGCCATATACATAGTTAAACAGAACAGTGTGTATAGTATGAGCTCACTTACGGGTTTTTTGTTGTTTTTTTTTTAAACCAGAGTGACAGTCTCGCTCTGTCACCCAGGCTGGAGTACAGTGATGCAATCTCAACTCACCGCAACCTCCACCTTCCAAGTTCAAGCAATTCTCCTGCCTCAGCCTCCCGAGTAGCTGGGATTACAGGCACCCATCACCACGAATGGCTAATTTTTTTTTATTATTTTTAGTAGAGATGGGGTTTCAACATGTTGGCCAGGCTGGTTTCAAACTCCTGACCTCAAGTGATCCGCCCACCTCGGCCTCCCAAAGTGCTAGAATTATAGGCATAAGCCACTGCACCCAGCCCACTTGTGGTTTCTATATTACACATAAGTATATATGTTTTTTTAAATTTTGTTCAAAGATAGAGTCTCACTCTGCCACCCAGGCTGGAATGCAGTGACTCGATTATAGCTCACTGCAGCCTTGAACTCATGAGTTCAAGTGATCCTCCTGCCTCAGCTTCCCAAGTAGCTAGGACTACAGGCATGTGCCACCACACCTGGCTAATTTTTGTATATTTTGTAGAGATAGAGTCTTGCTACACATTGCCCAGGTTCGTTTCAAACCCATGTCCTCAAGTGATCCTCCCACCTCAGCCTCCCAGAGTGCAGGAATTACAGGCATGAGTCATTGCACCTGGCCTATATTTTATATATAAAATAAAACTCTCAAAAATGAGAGCAAACTGTTCTTTATAGTTGCCTCTGAAACATGGTTCAAACACCTCAGTATTATTGACATTTTGGACCAGATACCTCTGTGTAGTGATGCTGTCTTATGCATTGTAGGATGTTGAACCACAACCCTGGCTTCTATCCATTAGATGCCAGTAGCTCTGCTCCAGCTGTGACTACCAAAAGTATTTGCAGACATAGCCAAAAGTCCCTAGGAGGCCAAAATGGTACTCTGTTGAGAACAACTGCTCTAGGAAAAATTTGGGGAAATTTTACTTTCTCTATTTTTTTTTTTTTGTAATAATTACGTGTTTTCAGGACAGGCGTGGTGGCTTATGCCTGTAATCCCAGCACTTTAGGAGGCTGAGACTGGTGGATCACTGGAGGTCAGGAGTTCGAGACCACCTGGCCAACATGGTGAAACCCTGTCTCTACTAAAAATGCAAAAAATTAGCCAGGTGTGGTGGCGGGAGGCTAAAATCCCAGCTATTCGGGAGGCTGAGGCAGGAGAATCACTTGAACCTGGAGGCGGAGGTTGCAGTGAGCTGAGATCGAACCACTACATTCCAGCCTGGGCAACAGAGCAAGATCCTGTCTCAATAATAATAATGATAATAATAATAATGTGTTTTCCGTAAAAATATAAATAAGAAAGGTAAAGTTTCTAATTAACTGGTATTTGAAGGCTCTGAGAACTGGAAGCCTAGGGAAGCACCTTTGTTGGGGCAAACCTTCCTGCTCGAACATGTAGGTCTTCCTCAAAGCAGGTCTGGCCTCCATCCATTTGCTCAATTACTGGCTTGTCCACTTGGGCAGGTCTTTTAATATAGTTCAGTGGTTTGTACTGGCAAACCCATTAGAAATGCAAAGCCTCAGGCCTCACCCGTTACCTACTATATGTAAAACTCTGGGAGTGGGGTCCCAATTTGTGTTTTAACAGCCTTCCAGACAAAGCTGACGCGAGCTCAGCTCTGAGAGTCACTAAAAGAATTAACAGTCCAAGAGAATGACAGAGTTTCATTAAAACTTTACATATTCCTCTAATGATCTCAAAGGATTATACACCAAGCACGCTATGCTTCCTGGTTTTCTGGGAGATAATTTACTTTTTGGAAACTCTTTACTCTGGTCTGAAACACAAGGCCAGAGTTGAGAAGATGCCTTTTATATCCATTACAGGAGTCTGTAAGCCAATGGTTCACACCGGAAGTTCAAATGTTGCAAGGCCTGTGTTTACTGGCTTAGACACTGTGAAAAATCAGTCACTGGCTGGGCTCAGTGGCTCATGCCTGCCATGCCAGCACTTTGGGAGGCTGAGGCAGGAGGATCACTTGAGCCCAGGTGTTTGAGACCAGCCTGGGCAACATATCAAGACCCCAACTCTGTGAAAAATAAATAAGTTAGCCAGGCATGGTGATGTATACCTTTAGTCCTAGCTACTCAAGAGGCTGAGGTGGGAGGATCACTTGAGCCCAGGAGGTTGAGGCTGCAGTGAACCATGATCGTGCCACTGCACTCCAGCCTGAGCGACAGGGCAAGATCCTGTCAAAAAAAAAAAAAAATTAGTTACTGCTTCCAGTGCCCCCAAAGGGTTAAACAGCCTCCATAGTCTTTTGGAAAATGAAGTTTTAAGTGAGAAAGCAAATGCTCTCAGAGTACTGTTCGCATTCACAGCTATTCCTGCAAAGCATTGGAATACTAGCTGAAGAATTATCTTCCATCCCAGGAGAGCATAATTGTGAACATGCAAAATACTATCCCTTATGAATATATTTTAAGCTTCAACTTTGAGAATGGAATAATCAATCTGTTGATACTTTGGCTGTAGAGATGTGGGTATTTGGAGCTGCTTTAAAAGAAACTGGAAAAAAAAAAAAAACCTGACTCAATCTTTGGCCCCAAGTCATCACTTGTGTCTGAATAATTCTGGCATAAAGATCTTTAGAAGCCACAGCCAATGCCAGCCCAGTGACTGGGGAAGGGAGAGAGAATCAGAAGTTAGAAAATGCTTTAAACGGTACCTGATATGGTGAAAGCAAGGCGAAGTTGTTCTGAAAATCCTGGAAATGGGCCAGAAAGAAGTCGGCACTCATGGCATCAATGTGTGAGCAGGTCACACCTTTCACCAGCTGCCCAGCACTAGAAAACAAAACAAGGGACTCGGGAGAGAAAGGGGTTGGGGAGGAGAGGAAAGAAAGAGCAGGAGAAGGCAGACGTGATCAGACACATGCTATAGACGTGACTGCCTAACTCTCCCTCCTGGGAAAGTAGGCTCCTCTGGCAGAAGGAAGCCTGTTCGGCATCCAGGCTAAGTTACGTTGTCCTACCTCAGAAGCTCCTCAGGTCTTCTGGTGGTCTTTAACAGAAGCTCATACAGGAACAGAGCCTGAGAGAAGAGAATGATCGACAGCACTGATGGCACACTCAGCGTGAGGCCCTATCGGGAAGGCGCCCCACAATCCCATTTTACAGATGGGGAAATGGAGGCTTCACAGGTTATGTCAGTTACGTAGGACCAGACCATTGCTAAGTGGCAGTGCCAAGATTTGAATTGGTGTCAAGGTAATTCCAGAACCCTGCTCTCACACGCCAGGTGATTCCCTATACTCCATGAGGCAGATAAGAAGCAAAGATGTTGGTGGCAGGGCTGGAGTTTTACATCCTGTGCTTTATGAAGCTGCTGACCAGCTGAGAACTCCCTGTGACTCCTATTTACATGTGCACCTGCCAGGTCCTGAACACCAGGCATCCCAGAATAGACCAGGATGGGCTAGAAAGCACCAGCAATAAAGTACCTGCAGCCGGCAGCATGCACCCGTTTCCAACCACCCCCAGATGAGCACTCTAGAACAATGTTAAGTAGACAGGGGAGTCATTTGTTTTAAGGAACATAATTTTACAGAATCCCTAACTTGCAGATGCAATCAAGTACTACATTTGTCTATTTTATAGACTCTGAAACTTTGAGCATCATTCCCCAAACAGAATAAATTATGAGCTAGTGTTAGACATGGTAGCTGAGAGCCATAAAGCAGCACAAAAGCCCAGGCAAAAGGGGCGGGCGATGGAGAGAAGTTCTGGACACTGTGTGTGGCCCCAGAGACTTCCTTGGGCATGGGGTCAAATTCTGGGACCCTCCCATGGTCTTCCCCATCTCAGGAAATGACAATCCATCAGCCCAGTGGCTGAGACAAAAGTATCTTTTTTTTTTTGAGACGGAGTCTTGTTCTGTTGCCAGGCTGGAGTGCAGTGGGGCAATCTCAGCTCGCTGCAACCTCCACCTCCTGGGTTCAAGCAATTCCCCTGCCTCAGCCTCCTGAGTAGCTGGGACTACAGGCATGTGCCACCACGCCCAGCTAATTTTTTGTATTTTAGTAGAGATAAGTTTCACCATGTTGGCCAGGGTGGTCTCGATCTCCTGACCTTGTGATCCACCTGCCTCAGCTTCCCAGAGTGCTGGGATTCCAGGCATGGACCACCATGCCTGGTGGAGACAAACGTATCTTGAAGTTTTTGGTGGCAGGATGTATTTTCCAAAATAAAATGATTGGCCGGGCACCCTGGCTCACACCTGTAATCCCAAGTCTTTGGGAGGCCAATGCAGGCGGATCACTTGAGGTCAGAAATTTGACACCAGCCTGGCCAACATGGTAAAACCCCATCTAGATAAAAAAAAATACATAAATTAGCCAGGCCTGACAGCATGTGCCTGTAATCCCAGCTACTCAGGAGGCAGAGGCATGAGGATTGCTTGAACTCAGGAGACGGAGGTTACAGTGAGCCAAGATTGTGCCACTGTACTCCAGCCTGAGCTACCAAGAGATTCTGCCTCAAAAAATAAAATAATAAAATGGTTGCCACTGTCACTAAATTTAGAGGTGGTTTGTGACACAGCAATAGGTCACTGGGATATCATCCAGCCTCATGAGAGACCCTGAGCAAGAGGCCCTGGAACAGACAGGGATTTGTGTCTATTTCATTCACTTTTGCACCCTCAGCACTGTGAACAGCACCTGGCGCATTGATGAGCAGTGCTTGATAAACATTTGCTGGGTGCATGTAATGAAGACTAACTGAATGCAAAGGAAATCAAGGACAGTACTAAGGCAGAGCATCCACTTCAACAGCACCATCCCCCCAAGCAGCCTCAATGCTGGCAGCGTTTAATAAGACACATCACAGCCGTGAGTATTTATAGCACATGGCCCAGCTGGCATACACCAGTGACCCTCATTTTATTATCAAAATTATCCCCATTTTGCACACGAGAAAACTGAGGCCATGTAAGGAACTTCTCCAAAGCTAATAAATAAGTGGGAGCCAGAATTCATGCTAAGGTCTTGTCTAACTCGTTTTTTTTTAAGAGGCACGGTCTTGCTCTGTTGCCCAGACTGGAGTGCGGTGGCATGACCATAGCTCACTGCAGTGTGGAACTCCCAGGCTCAAGGGATTCTCCTGCCCCGGCCTCCTGAGCAGCTGGGACCACAGGCATGCATCACCATGCCTGGCTCATTTTTTAACTTTTTGTAGAGGCAGGGTCTTTCTATGTTGCCCAGGCTGGTCTTGAACTCTGGGCGTCAGGCGATCCTCCTGCCTCTGCCTGTTCAATTTCTTAATACTATACTATTCTGCCTCCTGGGTTTAATCACACAGAAATAAATTTCTTTTATCAAATTAACCTTAAAAGAGACCATTCATTCTCACCAGACAGACAGAAATATAGGATCAATCTCTGCTTCATGGTAATACCTGGCTCCTCCCAAGTTCCTTTTCCTTCAGGACTGTAGAGTTGAATCCAGGTTCCCTCCTTAAATCAAAGAGAGACACTTCCTTAAAGAAAGCCCCTTGTATCTCCACAATGCCTGAGGCAGTGTCTCCCGATTCGATCATCTGCCAAAAGTGAGAAGCAACACAACAACCTTGTAAAAAAAAATGTATTGAGCTTTGAGGAAGGGCCGGACATTATATCACAGGCTATAAAATCCATCAGACCAACTCAGCAACCCTATGAAGTGGACAGTGGCATCATTCCCATTTCACAGGCTAGGAAACAGAGACTTCAAGGGTGAAGAGTTGAAAGTCAGTGAGATGCAAGGCCAACTTTGTCTTACTCCAAAACCCACGGTCTTTATTTTAACCATATGAGCTACTGCTATATGCAGAGTGTTGGCGTTTTAGGCCAAACCCCTTAGGTTTTGATTTCCCTGACAAGTGAAAAGGGGCCAGACATGGTGGCTCACACCTGTAATCCCAGCACTATAGGAGGCCGAGGTGGGCAGATCACTTGAGCCTAGGAGTTTGAGACCAGCCTGGGCAATATGGCAAGACCCCGTCTCTACAAAAAAAACATAAAAATCAGCCAGTGGCACAGGTCTGTAGTCTCAGCTACACGGGAGGGTGAGAGGATCACTTGAGCCCCGGAGGTTGAGGCTGCAGTGAACCAAGCTCATGCCACTGCATGCTGGCCAGGGTAATAGAGCAAGACCCTATTTAACAAAAAAAATGGAATACAGGTGTGGCTATGGACAGTGAAAAGGACTTTCAGATGCCCCCTAGAACTTTTGAGTTTATTTTTAGAGTTGAAAAGCAAATTTTAGGCCAGGCACAGTGGCTCACACCTGTAATCTCAGCACTTTGGGAGGCCAAGGCAGAAAGATTATTTGAGGCCAGGAGTTGGAGACCACACTGGGCAATATAGCAGTACTCCATCTCTATAAAAAATTAATAAATTAGCCAAGCATGGTAGCTTGAGGCCAGGAGTCCAATACTAGCCTGGGCAACACAGCAAAACCATATCTCTACAAAAAGTTTAAAAATAAGCAGGTGTGGTGATCATGCCTATGATCCCAGCTATTTAAGAGGTTGAGGCAGGAGGATTGCTTTCTTTCTGAGAAAGAAAGAAGGAAGGAAGGGAGAGAGGGAGGGAGGGAGGAAGGAAGGAAAGAAGAAAGGAAAGAAGGAAGGAAGGGAGGAAGGGAGGGAGGGAGGGAGAGACTGCAGTGAGCTATGATCAACCACTTTACTCCAGCGTGAGTAACAAATAAAATTGTCTCAAAAAAAAAATCTTTTGAAGTGTTATAAGATCAGGAAACCTGATTTAAGAAAGTCTTCCAGATTAGACTGGGGGAAAAATGGGGTCCGGAAAGAATGGCAGCATGACTGAAGGGCTCTGTCTGGAAAGGAGGGAAGGTGAGCCGCCAGGGGAAGGCAGAGCCACTCCAGACACTGACAGCTGAGACAATCCCACCCCTGGATTCATGGCCCAAAGTCACAGCCAACTCACCAAACTGCAAAACCACACCCACTGTGAGCGAGCCACGTGGCTGAGCACCAGACAACTTCCCTCTCACCTTGCTGAGGATACCTTGCTTCTGGGCAGGTGACAAGTTGAACACATACTGGGAGACAGCACTTCTCAGGACCTGCGAGAGGTCCTTGCGGTCCATGCTGCAGAAGTCCTGGGTGCTGACCCCGACCAGCAGAGCGCCCATCTGGCTGACATTGTAGAAAGACAGTACCTAGAAGAGGACCAGCCACATAGTCAAGCTCTGCTCCCGCCTTTTGCCTCTCCGACATGCACTCAGCCCATCTATATGCCAAGTATTGGAATGGGTGACACCTTAGAACCACAGCAGTGAGCCAGACAGATGCTGCCTCCACAGGCCTTCCTTCCTTCCTTCTATCAAGAAAAATAGCTGGCCAGGAGCAGTGGCTCATACCCGTAATCCCAGAACTTTGAGAGGCCAAGGTGGGTGGATCACCTGAGGTCAGGAGTTTGAGAGCATCCTGGCCAACATGGTGAAACCTCGTCTCTACTAAAAATATGAAAATTAGCCAGATGTGGTGGCAGGTGCCTGTAATCCCAGCTACTTGGGAGGCTGAGGCAGGAGAATTGCTTGAGCCCGGCAGGCACAGGTTGCAGTGAGCTGAGATTGCAGCATTGCACTCCAGCCTGGGCAACAAAAGCAAAACTCTGTAGAAAGAAAAAAAAAGAAAGTAAAAGAAAAGAAGGAGGGAGGGGAGGGAGGGGGAGGGGAGGAAAGGGAGAAAGAAAGTAACGAGGGGGAAGGAAGGAAAGAAAGAGAGAGATAAAGAAAGAGGGAGAGAGAAAAAGAAAGGAAGAAAAGAAAGAAAGAGAGAGAAAGAAAAAGAAGAAAGAAAGAAAGAAAGAAAGAAAGAAAGAAAGAAAGAAAGAAAGAAAGAAAGAAAGAAAGAAAGAGAGAAAGAAAGAAGGAAAGAAGGAAAGAGAGAAAGAAAGAAGGAAAGAAGGAAAGAAAGAGAAGAAAGTTACACTTGGGCTTTTTTCTTTCACTTACAGTGAAGATGCTAGATAGTTTTCCATATAATCAAGGACATGCTTTGGTTCTATGAAAAGACAGTTGAGTGGATTCCTGTAGTTATTGTATGTATAATGGGTGGTCTCATGCTGTCTTCAAAGAAGGCAAGACATTTTGACCTCTTGCCTTCTGAGTAAAGTGGCTTCACATCTCAGTAGGAAGTGTTGGATATTAGGAAAGAGACAAACCACTTTGTCCTGGGCTGGGAGGGAACAACACAGTCTCCCTCAACTCCCTAAAATCAAATTCAGAGAGAACTGCCAAGGTGGACCCATGGAGCCCCAATCAAGGTCCAGAAACAAGGATTCAAAGCTTTCAACATAAAGTCACCATGCGACTAGAAGAGACTAGATGAATGGGCTAGCCTGGCCCCTGCGTCAGAAAGGGGGAATGGGTGGACATTGGTCGTGGTGCCATGATGGAGACAGTGAGCATGGGAGTTAAATAAGATGGCTCTGGGGCCAGATGCCCTGGGTTCAATCCCAGCTGCATAATTTTCATGTGGCCTTGTCAGTTCCCTTACACACTCTGTACCCTACATGAATGAACTGGAAAATGAAGATTACAGCACTACCGACTCCAGAGGATTGTTGGATTAAATCATTAACTCACTTAGAACACAACCTGGCACATAGTAAGTGTTCAGCAAATGTCTGTTATTCCACATCCTCCCTCCCTGGGCCCCACAATGGAGGAAGCAGGCTAGGACCAGCCATTGGAGCTGCAGCAGCCCTTCATCCCACCCTCACCCTCCCTACTGACATCCTGCTCCAGTTCCCAGTTGGATTTACTTTGGGCGATGTGGTTGGAATATATTTGGCTCAGAACCATGACATAGCAAACCTAGCTTTTAAAACTTGAAGAGCTTTAAAAAGACTTGGATGCCAAGAAGAAATCCCCTATTCCTGCTCTTTGGGAGGCCAAAGCAGGTGGATTGCTTGAGCTCAGGAGCTCGACATCTATCTGGGCAACACTGCAAAATCCCATCTCTACCAAAAAAATACAAAAATCAGCCCTGCATGGTGGTATGTGCCTGTGGTCCCAGCTGCTCAGCAAGCTGAGGTGGGAGGATCCCCTGAGCCTGGGAGGTCAAGGCTGAAGTCAGCCAAGATCAGACCACTGCACTCCAGCCTGGGCAACATAGTGAGACCCTGTCTCAAAAAAATACAAAGAAGAAGAAACTCCCTAGTTCATGAGGCCGACTGCACCACTGCCTTGTGGATGCATAGATTCTACTCTACACCTCTTAAGAAGCCTTTACCACCTGAGTCACAAACTTTTGCTTTCATCTCCAACCTCAGCGATTTTCTTCTTTGTGGGACACTGTGGTTCTTTTGCTTTAGAGCAAGAAAATGGACCCCTTACATTTTCAACAACTTCATCCCTTCCCATATCCTCCTTCCAGCAAGCGATCCACAGCCTCAGGGGAGAGGGATTCCAGTTGGCTGTAGGTCAAACCTACAGCCAATGGACTAGGACTCGAATTTTGGTGCTAGGTTAGTAAACATGATCTTAATGGAGTAGTCTTTTCATTCTTTAGGATTTCTACTGCTTTTTTTTTTTTTTTTTTTTTTTTTGTAAGACAGAGTCTTGCTCTGTAGCCCAGCCCAGGCTGGAGTACAGTGGCACAATCTCAGCTCACTGCAACCTCCTCCACCTCCTGGGTTCAAGCGATTCTCCTGTCTTAGCCTTCCAAGTAGCTGGAATTACAGGTATGCACATCATGCCCGGGTAGTTTTTTCATTTTTAGTAGAGACAGGGTTTCACCACGTTGTCCAGGCTGGTCTTGAACTCCTAGCCTCAAGTGATCTGCTCATCTCGGCCTCCCAAAGTGCTGGGATTACAGGCATGAGCCACCACGCCCAGCCTACTACCTTTTGTCAAAAGAAAAATTGGTGAGTTTTGTGTAATTGGTCAGACACAGTTAATACTGAATTCACAGTTTAGCAATTATAATGGGTGCTTGTTAAACATCTGGTAGTAAATTATGTTATTTCAAAGTAATTAAAATTAATATCCAGAAGCCAAAAATAAATAAATGTTTGTTATTATTTGATTGGGATTGGTCCTAATCCGATCCTCATGAGCCAGTTTGCATCCTGGGAAGTGGCCGTGAGCGTTGACTGAAAGAGAAGGACACCAAAATGCTTAGAACTCAAGTATCTCAGATTTGGAGCCCTCTGGACTGGACCCAACCCCGGGACACTAATTCTCCCCAAAAGAATGTCCATTTTCCACCCAGGAGCAGCTAGAACACAGATTAAGACTCCTGTCCCCACCAAAGAGGACTGTCTGCCCTGACAGTGCCCTCTCTCCAGCCCAAGACTGGAATAAAAGAGCACCATCCCTAATCCCAAAGAAATGGCAAAAACCGTAATTACTTTTTGCATGAACCTAATAGCAGCTCAACAGCAGGGAGGAAAATCCTGGGATGAGTCCCACATGTTGATCTCTCCCAGTGATGGCTAACACCCCTTGAGCTGGTACTCTGTGGTGTCACCTGGTATTCCAGCTTCTTCATGTGCACCAACTCACATAATCCTTGCAGCAGTGCTACAGGGTAGGTGCTACTAATTTTTTGTTGTTGTTTAATTGTTTTGAGATACAGTCTTGCTCTGTAGCCCAGGCTAGAGTGCAGTGGCACGCTCTCTGCTCACTGCAACATCCGCCTCCCAGGTTCAAGCCATCCTCCTGCCTCAGTCTCCCAAGTAGCTGAGATTACAGGCGTGCACTATCACACCTGGCTAATTTTTGTATTTTTAGTAGAGACAGGATTTCACCATGTTGATCAGGCTGGTCTCAAACTCCGGGCCTCAGGTAATCTTCCCACCTCAGCCTCCCAAAGTTCCAGGATTACAGGTGTGAGCTACCTTGCCCAGTAGTAAATGCTATTGTTATCCCCATTTTACAAATAGAGAAACTGAGGCAAAGTAAAATTAAGCAAATTGCCCAGTGTCACACAGCTAGTAAATAGCAGAGTGAGGATTTGAACCCAGGCAGTCCTCCTCAGCATCATCTTCTTACTGATTGGCTGCCCCTGCTGTGTGTTTATATAAACTGACTGTTACAGATTGAATATTTGTATCCCCCCAGAATTCATATGTCAAAGTCCTAACCCCTAATGTGATGGTATTGGGAGGTGGGGGCCCTTAAGAGGCTTTTAAGGGTTAGATGAGGTCATGAGAAAATGAGGGTCAGGTGAGGCCCTAATCCAATGGGATTAGTTTCCTTGTAAGAGGAGATGCTGGAGAGCTTGCTCTCCCAGTGGTCATGTGAGCACACAGCAAAATGGCAGCCACCTACAGGCCAAGAGAAGAGTCCTCAGAATAAAACCTACCTTTCTAACACCTTGATGTTGAGCTTCCCAGTCTCCACAACTGTGAGAAATAAATTTATGTTGTTTATGCCACTCAATCTACAGTACATTGTTACGGCAGCCGGAGAGGACTAATACACTAGCCTTAGGTCATCTCAGGGGAATAAAGAAGAGTTTAAAAAACCCAGCTGACCTTCTCATGGGCCAAGTATTTGGCAGACAAGATGGTGACCTGGCTCTTGGTCCAACCTGAGACCTGGTTGAGGGTGGAGATGGCTCTGTGCACAGCCTCGGGGGAGAGAGATTCCAGTTGGCTATAGGTCAAACCTACAACCGCATCCGACAAAGAACCCAGGGTCTCGTTGAGGGTCTGGTTCTCTGTGGCAATGTCCAGGAGTTCTGCTTTGAGCTGGAAGGAGAGCAAATTGGAATGAGTGTTGATAGGAAGCAGGGCAGTGGCTCCCTCTGACCATAACCAGGGCTATTAGGACTCTACCTCACCCTCCCATCAAAGTCTCTGGACACCGAAGTGAAGAAGGAAAGGGACTCCTGACATGCCCAGAAAGTGAGGCATCACATGGAGAGCACTTCCTCTGGTCTTGGCTCTCATGTGCCAAAAATTCCCTTTGTGCTTCATTTAAATATTAATTTGTCATTTAATCAACCTTAAACCATGTCAGAAAGAAATCTCGTTCCCTTTATAACTCCACCATACTTTTTTTTTTTTTTCAAACAAATGAGCTCTTTTATTTTAAAGTACTTTTTACCAAGATAGGGTTTTTTTTTTTTAACTTTACTTTAGGTTCTGGGGTACACGTGCAGATCATGCAGGATTGTTGCATAGGTACATACATGGCAAGGTCCACCACACTCTTATAGCATCTATTTTCCTCTGGTGACCTTAAACTCTATATCCATATATATAGGCTGTTTTCCTTTCATGAGATAGCCAGGGCCCTTTTCATGATAATTTACAGTCTGTGTAAAAATAACTCTTGTTTTTTTTTAGACTGAGTTTCGCTCTTGTCGCCCAGGCAGGACTACAATGGCATAGTCTCAGCTCACTCCAACCTCCACCTTCTGGGTTCAAGCAATTCTCCTACCTCCATCTCCTGAATAGCTGGGATTATAGGCACCCACCACCTCACCTGGCTAATTTTTAGTAGAGAGGGGTTTCACCATGTTGGCCAGGCTGGTCTTGAACTCCTGACATCATGTGATCCACCTGCCTCAGTCTCCCAAAGTGCTGGGATTACAGGTATGAGCCACCACACACAGCCAAAAATAACTCTTAACAGTACAAGAAAGTAAAAGTCTCCTCAATATCCTACCTCGTGAAAGTAACCATGATTAGCAATTGGGTGTATATGCTTCCAAGACTTCTGTGCCTTTATAAATATAGAGACACTATGTAGTTTTTACAGGGTTATAACATAAACAGAAGCACAATTTGCTCTTCTATATTTCCCCTTAAAATTATCTCTTGCACCTGTTTGCACATTTCTATTATCATTTTAATAATTTTTATTGCAATATGCCTGCCTAATTATAGAAAAGTGTGTGTTCCAACTGCTTCTAGTAAGGAATGTGATAAACTCACCTACTATACAATGAGCTCTTTAACAAAAAAACAAAAATAGTTCATGTTTAACACTGAATTTACGTGAACAACGTAGTTATTTCAGACAGGTGCATAAAACGGGTTTCTGGCAATATTGAAATAGCCACTAGGGGGCAGAAAAGTGAAGTAGAAGAAACAGCTGTCACAGCACCTGGGTTCTCCAAGTTCAGCAACTCCTTCCCTAGAGATCAGTTTCCACATCTGTAAAATGAAGGAGTGGACTACAGTGGCAGCTCTCAAAGTGTGGAGCACACCCAGCGGCATGGGCATCACCTGGGAACTTAGATGTGCAAATTGCCAGGCTGCTCCCAGACCTCCAGAATCAGAGACTTGGTGGGGCTCTGAAATCCAAGGATCCCCAACCTCCAGGCCACAGATGAGGACCATGGGGACCCTGGCCTGTTAGAAACCAGCCACAGCAGGAGGTGAGCAGCACCACTTGAATCATCTCCGCCTCCTGTCAGATCAGAGGCGGCATTACTTTCTCATAACAGCAAACCCTGTTGTGAACTGCGCATGTCAGGGACCTAGTCTGCGTGCTCCTTATGAGACTCTAATGCCTGATGATCTATTGCCTGATGTCACTGTCTCTCATCACCCCCAGATGGGACCATCTTGTTGCAGGAATACAAGATCAGGGCTCTCACTGATTCCACATGACAGTGAGTTGTATAATTATTTCATTGTATATTACAATGTAATCATAATAGAAATAAAGTACACAATAAATGTAATGCACTTGAATCATCCTGAAACAATCCCCTGGCCCCAGTCCATGGAAAAAGAATTGTCTTCCACAAAACTGGACCACTGCCACAGCTGTATTTTTTTTTTTTTTTTTTTTTTTTTTTTTGAGATGGAGTCTCACTCTGTCACCCAGTCACCCAGGCTGGAGTACACTGGCATGATCTCAGCTCACTGCAACCTCTGCTTCCCAGGTTCAAGCAATTCTCCTGCCTCAGCCTCCCAAATAGCTGGGACTACAGGTGCGAACCACCACGCCCAGCCAATTTTTGTGTTTTTCACTAGAGACCATGTTGACCAGGCTGGTCTTGAACTCCTCACCTCGTGATCCACCCACCTCGGCCTCCCAAAGTGCTGGCATTACAGGCGTGAGCCAACGCGCCCAGCCCACAAGCGGTATTTTAACAGGCCCTCCCTGTGATTTACATGCACTCTCCAGTTTGAGAACAATTGAGCTAGATTATTCCAAAGGGCTCCTTCATATCTAACCACATGCGACCTCCTTGGTCAGGGCTGCCACATGTTGAGAACACTGGGCCTTAAAATACATCTCTTTTCTTATTTTTGTTTGGAGCTTGCTTGGGAGGGATTCTTTTCCTTAGAAACAAAAGTATGCATTGACAGGCCAGACACAGTGGCTCACACCTGTAATCCCAGTACTTTGGGGGGCCAAGGCAGGTGGATCACCTGAGGTCAGGAGTTCAAGACCAGCCTGGCTAATATGGTTAAGCCCCATCTCTACTAAAACTGCAAAAACTTAGCCAGGCACAGTGACACATACCTGTAGTCCCAGCTAATCTGAAGGCTAAGGTAAAAGAATCACTTGAACCTGGAAGGCAGAGGTTGCAGTGAGCTGAGATTGTGCCACTGCATTCCAGCCTGGGTGACAGAATGAGACTCCGCCTCAAAAAAAAAAAAAACGTGTTGACCAAGATAGATGACCATGATCTCAAATGTCAAATGCGTTTGGGGACTTTATGGTGATGAGTGGAAAACTTCTGTGAAATTATTGATAGCTTTATCAAAATTTCATTTAATATTATTTTCATGTCATCTTTCTGATTTTAAGCAAATTGAAAAGGACCACAAAAAGTGAAAGGGAAGAGGGTAGAATTGAGACTTGAATGGAAGAAAGAAGAGAGAGATGGAGAGGAAGGAAAATGAGAGATCGCGTGTTTACTAATGTGTCCAGAACCTGGTCTTGGGAACTCATAACTACCCTCCAATCCAGTGTTCTCAATCCTGGCTGCATTGAGAAGCTTTAAAATCAGGCCATACCTCAGGCCACACCCCAGCACAATAACATCAGAATCTCTGGGGATGGCACCTAGCAGGGGTGTTACTAATCTAGAGCCAAATTTGAGAACCACTGCTTTATCTCCTGCTGCTCCAGGCATGTCCACCAGAGCAGCAATTTCAGAATCACCTGCAACCTTGTTGGAAGTGCAGCATCGGCTGGGCACAATGGCTCACACCTGTCATCCTAACACTTTTGAGGCCGAGAGAAGAAGGAGGAAGGAGAAGAAGAGGAAGATGAGAGAAAAGAGAGTCCTGGGCTTCAACCCAGAGCTCCTGAATCAGAATCTGCATTTAGGTCCTTAGGTGATCTGTGTGTACATTTTAAGTTTGAGGTAGCTGCCTCTTGCTCTGTCATCCAGCTGAAGTGCAATGGCACTATCATAGCTCACTGCAGGCTGGCACTCCTGGGCTCAAAAGATCCTCCTACCTCAACCTCCCAAGTCACTGGCACTATATGCACATGGCTAATTTTTTTTTTCTTCTGTTCTTCTTCTTCTTCTTTTTTTTTTTTTTTTTTTTTTTGACGCCAGATCTCACTCTGTTGCCCAGGCTGGAGTGCAGTGCGGCAATATTGGCTCACTGCAACCTCCACCTCCCAGGCTCAAGCAATTCTCCTGCCTCACCCTCCTGAGTAGCTGGGATTACAGGCGCGCACCACCATGCCTGGCTAATTTTTGTATTTTTAGTAGAGATGGGGTTTCACTATGTTGGCCAGGCTGCTCTCGAGCTCCTGACCTCAGGTGATCTGCCTGCCTCAGCCTCCCAAAGTGCTGGGATCACAGGTGTGAACCATCGTGCCCAACCATTTTTTTGTATTTTTTACAGAGACAAGGGTCTCATTATGTTATCCAGCCTGGTATCAAACTCCCAGCCTCAAGCGATTCTCCCACCTTGGCCTCCCAAAGTTCTAGGATTACAGGTGTGAGCCACCACACCTGGCTGATTGAAGTTTGATCTCCCCAGGATCTGTTCCTTTGCTGTCTTCTGTCTGGTCTTCGACGTTACACTCATCCCAGTATTTGAGATGCCATTTGCTGTAACTGATCTTAAATCCCAACTAGTGCTGTGTGTTTTCTCTCAAAGGCTAAGCTAGGCTGTTCTCCCCATTTCTCCGGCTAGAAAAACTGAAGCAGAGGCCTCAGGGCCTTGAAGCCCAGCTGTACCTTCTGGACGCCAGCCTGGAAGCCCCTCAGATGGCTGCACTTGATCATCTGGTGAAGCAAGGCTTGGGCCACAGTGGCATCCAGCAATTCCAGGTCATCGTAGAAACAAACCAGCAACCCCAACCTGTGTGAGAAGAGGAGGGGTATGGTGGAGGTGTAAGTGCAGAACCAGCCCATTCTGGTATCATTTTGTGTAATAAAATGGTGAGTTGTTTTTCAGTTGCCATGGACTCCCAGGTCATATAACCTGAACATGCCCAGATGAATCAAATGTGCAACCACAGGTGGAACCTAAGTACTCAGACAGGACAGAGGAATGAAGGCTGAATTAAGAAGTGGACGCCACATGGCATGGTCCATGATCCAAGCAGATTGAGCCCTGGCATCACTTCATGGCATAATCCAATCAGATCCCACCTCCCAGCATCACCTCATAGCAAGACCCAATCAGATCAAGTCTTATTACCCTCTGCCTATAAAACCTGCCCCAGCCCACAGCTCAGAGACACAGATTTGAGCACTACTTCCTTTCTCCTTGGCAGCTGATTCACAGTAAATGTTTCTGTCTACAAAAACCTGGTGCCTCAGTGTTTGGTTTTCCATCGTGCATGGGCAAACAAACCCAGTTTGGTTCTGTAACAGAAGGCTGAGAGCTGGCGGACACAATGACATCCACTGCCCAGTCCAAACCAATGGGGTCCTGATTATATTAACAGCAGCTACCACTTATCAGGTCTTGTGCTGAGCTGTTTACCTGCATTATCTCATCACAGCAACCCTACAAGGCAGGTGCTCTCATTAGCCCCATTTTACAGATGGGCAAACTGAGATTTGATTTGTCCAAGCCAAGTTGCCGGAAATGGGACTTAAATGTAGACCCATCCAACTACGCCATCTCTCCACCAGGGACAAATAAAGGGAATAAGGAAAGAACGGTGCTGGGAGCCACAAAAAACTCCCCATTTTCCCCATGGAGAAAAGGGGGTTTCTTCACCCTGATGGATTCTCTGAGGCAGAGATCTGTTTCCAGGATGCCTTTCCTACCTACCCACCAAGATGATGCAAAGATTTCAGAAGGAAAACAAAAAAGACTGGAGGAAAACAGTGGAAAGACAGGGGTGAAATTTGAACCCTGGTATAACTGAGAGCAATGTATCTACTCATTAAGAGCATTGATGCAGACCTACTGCAGTTTGAAGCCCGGCTCTTTAAGATGTTAGATCTTCACTGAGTTACTTAACTTCTCCATGAGGTTGCTGTACACAGTTCCACAATGCACACTCTGTACTCCTGTGCTGTACAGAGGCAGGGTGCCCCTCCCTCTCTGAGCTTTAATAAATGGGAGGTTTGCTTTGTTCATTGTAACACATCATAATAAATATGAATGAAAGAAAGAGGATGGCTGTGAAAGTTAAATGAGAAGTGGCACACACCAACTGATGTGCATGCTTCCTGATGGATGCTAAGCACTCATTCATTAATGAATGCTCTTAGAGTTAGTATGAAGACTACCTGGTGTCTACAGTCAGCCTGGCTCCACCCTCTCAAAGAGATATTGACATATTCAGATATGCCCACAGAAGAGCTGCCAGGTCCAGGGAAAAGATTTGAAAGTGTGTCTGATGAGGAAAAGAGATCTGCTTAACATCGAGAAAAGAAGATTCCAGGGAAGTGAGGGATGAGTGTTAATAACCACATTAAAAATACCTATTCACAATAGCCAAGATATGGAATCATCCTAAGTGTTGGACACATCAGTGGCTACATGGATTTTTTTTAAATATAGTGGATACACAATGGAATGCTCTTCAGCTTTGAAAAAGAAGGAAATTCTATCATATGGAACAACAGGGATGAACTTGGAGAATCTTATGCTAAGTGCAATAAGCCAGGCACAGAAAGACAAATACTGTATGACCTAACTTATATGAAGAATCTGGGCCAGGCATGGTGGCTCACACCTGTAATCTCAGCACTTTGGTAGGCGGAGGCGGGCAGATCACAAGGTCAGGGTTCAAGACGAGCCTGGCCAACATGGTGAAACCCTGTCTCTACTAAAAATACAAAAATTAGCCTGGCGTGGTGATGCACGCCTGTAATCCCAGCTACTCAGGACACTGAGGCAGGAAAATCGATTGAAGCCTGGAGGCAGAGGTTGTAGTGAGCCGAGATCGCACCACTGCACTCCAGCCTGAGTGACAGAGCAAGATTCCGTCTCAAAAAAAAAAAAAAAAAAAAGGGATCTGAAAAAAAAGTCATACTCATGGAAGCAGAGTTAGAATGTTAGAATGGTTGTTACCAGGGGCTGGAGGTGGGAAGGGAGTTTTGGAGATAATTGGACAAAGGATACAATGTTTCAGTTAAATAGGAAAGTAGGTTCTGGAGATGTATTCTACATGCTGACTATAGTTAATAACAATGTATCATATTTTCAAAATTGCTAAGAGTAGATTTTAAGTATTCTCACCACAAAAAAAAAGTATGTGAGGTAATAATTAGCTTGATTAAGCCATTCCACAATGAATATATATCTCTAAACATCATGTTGCATACCATAAACAGATATATTTTTATCAATTTAAAAAATAAATTATAAAAGAAAAAAATAATATTTCTTGGGCACTTACTATGTGTCAGGTGTGTAAATCCCTACAAAGACCTTCATGCAGAAGGCATATTTTTAGCTCCCATTTCACAGATGGGGAAGCGGAAGCATAGAGAGGTGAGGTAAAAATGGCAAAGATCACACAATTTGTAAGCAGCAGGGCCAGGATTAAGCCATGAAGTCTGGCTCAAGGTCACATATTCTTAATCATGAGGCTATTTGTGTGTGCATGTAGCCATAGAAAAATGGAACCCAGCTGGGCATGGTGGGTCACACCTGTAATCGCAGTGCTTTGGGAGGACAAGGCAGGCAGATCACAAGGTCAGGAGATCAAGACCATCCTGGCTAACATGGTGAAACCCATCTCTGCTAAAAATACAAAAAATTAGCCTGCCGTGATGGCATGCACTTGTAGTCCCAGCTACTCAGGAAGCTGAGGCAGGAGAATTGCATGAATCTGGGAGGCAAAGGTTGCAGTGAGGCAAGATCGCATCAACATGCACTCCAGCCTGGGTGACACAGCAAGACCCTGTCTCACACAAAAAAAAAAGAAAAAGAAAAAGAAAACTGGGACCCATGCTAATAAGTGAAAATTACTAAGGATAGGTGAAGGAGATGTAATTGTTCTCTATAAGTACATTCCCTAAAAGTGGCTCATTTAAAAAACTTAAGGTAATATAGGATGGGTACACTATGGCAATAAAACCTTGAGAGATGTACAGAAGATTGAATGATGGCCTAGCACAGTGGTTCACCCCTGTAATCTCAGCACTTTGGAAGGCCAAGGTGGTTGGATCACTTGAGGTCAGGAGTTCGAGACCTACCTAGCCAACATGACAAAAACGCCTCCCCATTATAAATACAAAAATTAGCTGGGCTTGGTGGCATGCGCTGTAATCCCAGCTACTTGGGAGGCTGAGGCAGGAGAATCTCTTGAACCTGGGAGGTGGAGGTTGTAGTGAGGTGATATTGTACCACGACACTCCAGCCTGGGTGACAGAGTGAGACTCTGCCTCAAAAAAAAAAAGAGGATTGAATGGGCCAGGTGTGGTAGCTCATGCCTGTAATCCCAGCACTTTGGGAGCCTGAGGTGGGCAGACCACCTGAGGTCAGGAGTTCGAGACCAGCCTGGTCAACATGGCAAAACCCCATCTCTACTAAAAACACACACAAAAAAACTAGCTGGGCATGGTGGCACACACCTGTAGTCCCAGCTACTCTGGAAGCTGAGGCACGAGGATTGCTTGAACTCGGGAGGTAGAGGTTGCAGTGAGCCAAGATCCCATCACTGCACTCCAGCCTGAGCAACAGGGTGAGACTCTGTCTCACCAAAAAAAAAAAATGTAGGTGGATTGAACAGTACTCACCACCAACTTCCCGTTGCCCACTCCCTACCTTGACCCTCAAACCCTTCCTGACATCCCTGGAATGCAGAGTTCCTGTCCCTCCCCTGCTGGGAATGGTTTCAGGGAGGATCACATTACAATCACTAAATTCTAGAGCTGATCTCATCCAGGGGCTCCCCAGCTGAGAGTCTGATAACAAGGGGTTTTCAAATACCGGGACCCATGAGTTATTTCCAACACTTGACTCAACTTAAAACAGAAATCACATATTCACTTTGGAACAGGACCCAGGCCTGAGTATTTAAAATGTTTCATTTCTGTGCTGAGAGCTGTAATTAGCACTTGATAAGATTGCATAAAATGCCTGGCACACAGGAGATGCTCAGAAAGCATTTACCCTTTCACCCTGCTTCATAACCACTTCATGAAAAGGGTGCAGACATGCACAGAGAGATGTGGAACTATTCAAAGAGATAGACCAGCCACCTCCCTTCCCTCCCTGGGTCTTTTGCTGCTCAGAGAATTCTGATGCTTAGATCACATCTTGTGAAAGAGCTCCAAGGCCCAGAGCCCATGTCCTTGCCTGTGGATGGTGGAGGTATTCCTCACGTTAAAGTTGGAGGAGCTGATCCTCTCCAAAAACGCGTGGGCCAGCTCAGGTGTGATGTCATAGACCGTGTCCAGCTGCTTGGTGGCATTGTCATAACTGATAAACAGCCCAATCTGGTTGGTGGACAAGGACGGGAATATCAGTGAGGAGGGTAGAAGTGGCCCAGTGTGGCCCCACCCTGGTGGTCTGCCCTGTGCCCCATCATGGATACTTGGATATGACTCCTGGTTCTCACTGTCATTGATGTCTTTTTTTTTTTTTTTTTTTTTTTTTTTTTTGAGATGGAGTCTCATTCTGTCACCCAGACTGGAGTGCAGTGGTGCGGTCTCAGCTCACTACAACCTCTGCCTCCTGAGTTCAAGCAATACTCCTGCTTCAGCCTCCAGAGTAGCTGGGATTACAGATACCCACCACCATGCCTGGCTAATTTTTGTACTTTTAGTAGAGGCAGGGATTCACCATGTTGGGCAGGCTGGTCTTGAACTCCTGACATCAACTGACCCACCCACCTCGGCCTCCCAAAGTGCTGGGATTACAGGTGTGAGCCACCGCGCCCAACCTCATTGTCATTGATTTCTTAGTGGTCTATAACTGCTACTTTGGTTTCCTTCTCAACCTAACTGTTCTTAAGGAAAGTATTATTTTTTAACATCTGAGAAATTGGGCTTTTTAAAAGCTAATCTTTGCACATTTATTTCTAGATTTGTTATACTGAGGTCAGAGAATGTGGTCCAAAAACTTTCTGCTTTGAAGAATCGGAAATTTTTTAATAGACAAATGAGTTTATAAATGGCCCTTGGGCAATGTCTTTGTAAGACACAAAGTTTGGTGCATATATATTCAACTTATTAAATATACTATTCAGATTCCCGACATTCTCTTTCCTCCACATGTCCAAGGGTGCCATATGCAAGTCTTCTACTACTATAGGACTCATACCTATTTTCCCTTGTATTTCTAGCAGATTATACATTATGTATATAACCTTTTTGAGACAGTCTCATTCCTTTTTTTTTTTTTTTGAGATGGATTCCCACTCTGTCACCCAGGCTGGAGTGCAGTGGTACAATCTCAGCTCACTGCAACCTCAGCCTCCCAGGTTCAAGTGATATTCCTGCCACAGCCTCCTGAGTAGCTGGAATTACAGGCATGTACCACCATGCCCAGCTAATTTTTGTATTGTTAGTAAAGATAGTGTTTCACCATGTTGGCCTGGCTGGTCTCAAACACCTGACCTCACGTGATCCACCCACCTTGGCCTCCCAAAGTGCTGGGATTACAGGCACAAGCCACTGCGCCCAGCCAAGACACAGTCTCACTCTATTACCCAGGCTGGGTTGCAGTGGTGTGATCATGGCTCACTGCAGCCTCAACCTCCTGGGCTCAAGTGATCCTCTCACCTAAGCTTCCCAAGTAGCTGGGCTACAGGCACACAACACCACACTTGGCTAATTTTTAAGTTTTTTTGTAGAGGTGAGGTTTCACTATGTTGCCCAGGCTGGTCTTGAGCTTCTGGGCTCAAGCAGTCCTCCCTCCTTGGCCTCCCAAACTGCCGGGATTACAGGCATGGGCCACGGCACCGGGAACATTCTGTATTTTGATGCACTATTATGCTGTGCTCAAAGGCGCTCATAAAGTTGTCTCTCCTTTGTAGATTGTACTCTTTGTCCATATAAAATTTCTTTTTAGGCTGGGCGAGGTGGCTCACACCTGTAATCCAAGCACTTTGGGAGGCCAAGGCAGGCAGATCACCTGAGGTCAAGAATTCGAGACCAGCCTGGCCAATATGGTAAAACTTCATCTCTACTAAAAATACAAAAATTAGCTGGGCATGGTGGCATGTGCCTGTAATCCCAGATACTCAGGAGGCTGAGGCAGGAGAATCAATTGAACCTGGGAGAAGGAGGTTGTAGTGAGCCAAGATCACACCACTATACCGCAGCCTGGGCAACAGAGAAAGACTCCATCTTGAAAAGAAATCAACTAAAATAGGCCTGGGGCGGTGGCTCACGCCTATAATCCCAGCACTTTGGGAGGCTCAGGAAGGAAGATCATGAGGTCAGGAGTTTGAAACCAGCCTGACCAACATGGTGAAACCCCATCTCTACTAAAAATACAAAAATCAGACTGGCATGGTGGCACACACCTGTAATCCCAGCTACTCAGAAGGCTGAAGCAGGAGAATCACTTGAACCCAGGAGGCAGAGGTTGCAGTGAGCCAAGATCACGCCACTGAACTCCAGCCTGGGCAACAGAGCGAGATTTCGTCTCAAAAATAAACAAATAAACAAACAAACAAATAAATAAAATTACCTTTTTAACAGTGTTACTCTTGACTTCTCCCTTCTCAACATTTAGAGAACGAAAAGTTGCCAATGGGTGCTTGATCTTAGAAATTTCTTCTTGGGGCCCAGCTTTCTAACAATTTAAGCTGCTATCTACTAAAAGCAACTCAACATTGAGAAAGTAAATGGCAGTGGAGTTGGGGGTTAATTCTAGGACTGCTGGTTATAAAAATTAGAAGACACTTGAAATACTCCCAGCCCCCTAGTAAAAAAAGAGAAACCTTGTTCTGCCTCTGATTTCATAATAAACAGACATTGCTGAATCAATGGGTCCTTGAACAAGCCAGTCATTTGATGCAAATACTTCTCTCACTGGACAGAAGTGTCAGAGCACATATGATTTATAAAAATAAAAATAAAAAATTGGAGGCAAGGTCCACAGTCTCTTTATGAGTCCCTTTGTGCTGGCAGCATTCTTTGGAGACCCCATTCAAGAATCATGATGCCCAAGGGATTTTAGTGTCATTGGGTCAACATCAAAAGGAGAGGGACAGGTTAACTGGTGAGTTAAGTAACCTTAGAATGTGTACATTTCTCCACTGTAAACTCTAGAATTAAAATCTAGCCATTGCTCATGCTCAAACAGCTATTAACAGAAGTAGCTATATATAGAAGTAGCTATTAATCCATGTTGTTTTTGCTTTGAGTTCATGCTTCCAAGGACTGGAAACTTTATATCTTTTGTCCTTGGCTTGTCTTGAGTACAAAAATACCCTTAAATGATTTTTGGTTCATAGCCAACAATCCCTTTAAATCATGTTTGCTCACATCAGAGATGTGATCTTAGTTGTCCACAATTCTTTTCTTTTCCTAGCCCTTCCATACTAAAACACAATCCCATGACTGCCCACTTGAAACTTTGTCCCAATAGTTTTCTTTAGAGGCCCAAGCTCTATTGGACTGAGGAGAGTATACAATTTCCAAGTCACCTTGACTGGCTGGATGAACAATAGAGGTTGAGAATACACCTTACCCAAAGTGTATTAGTAATGGCAACGTATAAATGGACATTTCCAACTTACTTCCATAGGACTAATTTTCATAATTTCTTCAAATGATAGGTGAACCATGTATCTGCCCAAAATCCATAAGTTTTCTGCACTGACCCATGAAACAGAGTCATCTACAAAAAATAAAGAAATGAATAAATGAGCAAATTAAATAAATAAAAGCCTGCCAGGCAAGGTGGCTTACACCTGTAATCCTAGCACTTCAGGAGGCCGAGTCAGGAGGATCACAAGGTCAAGAGATTGAGACCATCCTGGCCAACATGTTGACACCCCATCTCTACTAAAAATACAAAATATTAGCTGGGTGTAGCGGTGCACACCTGTAGTCCCAGCTGCTCGGGAGTCTGCGGCAGGAGAATGGCTTGAACCCGGGAGGCAGAGGTTGCAGTGAGCCAAGATCATGCCACTGCACTCCAGGCTGGGCAACAGTGCAAGACTCTGTCTCAAATAAATAAATAAATAAATGCCTTTGCACTGGTATGTGATAGTCAACAACACCTTTGCTGTCAGGACCTCCTTCTTGCATTCATTAACTCTTTGTTTATTTTGTTTTTTGAGATTTTTTTGAGTTGGAGTCTCAGTCTGTTGCCCAGGCTGGAATGCAGTGGTGTGGTCTTGGCTCACTGCAACCTCTGCCTCCCAGGTTCAAGCCATTCTCCTGCCTCAGTCTCCTACATAGCTGGGACTTTACAGGCACCAGCCACCACACCCACCTAATTTTTGTAGTTGTAGTAGAGATAGAGTTTCGCCATGCTGGTCTAAAACTCCTGACCTCAGATGATCTGCCCACTTCCACTTCCCCAAGTGCTGAGATTACAGGTGTGAGCCACCATACCCAGCCAGGTGGCATCTTTTTACCACCTACAATGCTTTTCCTTAACCTTTCTGCATCCAAATCCTACTTTAAGATCAAGCTCAAATTTTTCTCTCCTTTAAAGCCTTCTCTTGTCTCCTTCATGAGAAGTACTTTCTCCCTCCACTGAATTCCCAGAGAACTCTCTCTGACACCTTGTTCTGGCCTTTGAATTTCCCCATCACTGAGATGTCAGTGGGACTTTAAAAACCATCAAGTCTAGGTGGGGCATAGTGGCTCATGCCTGTAATCCCAGCACTTTGGGAGGCCGAGGCAGGTGGATCACAAGGTCAGAAGTTCAAGACCAGCCTGGTCAAGATGGTGAAACCCCATCTCTACTAAAAATACAAAAATTATAGCTGGGCATGGTGGTGCGTGCCTGTAATCCCAGCTACTTGGGTGGCTGAGGCAGGAGAATCATTTGGGCCTGGGAGGCGGAGGTTGCAGTGAGCCAAGGTTGCACCATTGCACTCCAGCTTAGGCAATATGAGGGAAACGCCATCTCAAAGAAAAAAAAAAAAACAACCATTAAGTCTAGGATCAGACCTCAAGTTTCACTGAGCTGGAAGTAGCTGCCAATGCTCCCCAGTTCTTTAGGAAAAGACATTTACACACAACAACATTGTATTGGAGGCATTTGGGGAAAATGAAAGAAGTGGGGAACATTTACAGGATGCAGTGACTTTAACACCAAGAGCTATTTGCAGAAGCTGTGGGCAATGACAGATGTCCAAATGAGATGGAGAAATCAACTTGTGTATGGACTGATTCACAAGAACATACGGAGTGCCTCCCCCAAAACAGGAATCAAAGATGTTGAGGTGACATAGGCATACTCCTACAATCCTTCAGATGGGGACCCTGGACATCTGGACATTTGCCTTGCCTATACAGAGGGCTAGAAAATTTGGGGGCTAGAACCACACATTCACAAAGAAGCAAGCTAGTTGTAGATTTTTTAACTAATTACTAAGCATGAACTGTATTTCCACAGAACAATGATCCCCAAGCTTGAGGTTCTTTTTTCCTCTGTTGTCCAGGCTGGAGTGCAGTGGCATGATCACAGCTCACTGCAGCCTCGAACTCCTGTTTCAGCATCCTTAGTAGCTAGGACTACAGGCATGCACCATCATATCGGGCTAATCTTTTAATTTTTTTTTGTAGAGAGGGGTCTCGCTACATTGCCCAGGCTGGCATTGAACTCCTGGCCTAAAGAAATCCTCCCTCCTCAGCCTCCCAAAGTGCTAGGATTACAGGTATAATCCACCACACCTGGCCAGCAAGGTTGGGATATTTTTAACAGCCAAAGTATTTCCAGTTCCCTCAAGGACCTTCATGAAAAAAAAAATTTTTTTAAGGTCCAAACAGAATTAATTTCAACTAGCTGTAGTTTAATAACGAAGCAAACCATATAGGAATTTTAGAAGGAAAGTCTGTGCCTAATTAAACCCTGGCAATAAAGACAGAGAAGTCTGAAGGTTGAGCGGCTTTCTCATAGTTACACAGTGTGAGACTCCGATTCCTGGAGGCCATAATTATGCACTAAGCAGAGGGAATTCTACTATGCATTTGAGACTTTGATTATGATGTTGTTTAATGTTCATTATGCACAAATCTCAGAGCTGAATTCCAGGAAAAGGATTGATTGGCATTCCCCATCCTCCAGCCCCATCTGCCTTCCTTATGTTTTGCCCACACTGAGCTCATTCCCATCTCAGGTCCTTTGTATTTCCTGGGATCTCTCCCTGGGATGCCCTTTCTCCAGAGCCTTACATGACTGGTTCCATCTCCTCATTTTGGTCTTGATTCCGATCTCACCCACTTGAGAGGTCTTCCCTGATTCCTTAGTCTAAGGGTTGGCAAACTACAGTCTATGGGGCAAACTCAGCCTGCCACCTGTTTTTATACAGCCCATGAGCCAAAATTGGATTTCCATTTATTATTTTGAGGTTTTTTTTTAGAGACAAGGTCTCACTCTGTCACCCAGACTGGAGTGCAGTGGCACCTTACAGCTCACTGCTGCCTAAAACTCCTGGGTTCAAGGGATCCTCCTGCCTCAGCCTCTAGAGTAGCTAGGACTACAGGCATGTACCAGCACATCGGGCTAATTTTTTTTTATTTTTTTTAAGAGATGGAGTCTTGCTATGTTGCCCAAGCTGGTCTTAAACTTTTGGCTTCAAGCAATTCTCCTACCTGGGCCTCCCAAAGTGCTGGGATTACAAGCGTGAGCCACTGCACCCTGCCTGGTGTTTACGTTTTTTAATGGCTGAAAGGAAAATCAAAAGAAGAATCCTATTTGGTGACACGTGAAAATTATACACATTTCAAATTTCAGTGTCCATAAATAAAGTTTTACTGGGACACAGGCATGTTTATTCATCTAATGTCTACAGCTGTTTTCAACCTGCAATGTCAGAGCTGAATAGTTAAGGCAAAAATGGCAGGCTTACAAAGCCTAAAATATTTACCTGGTTCTTTACAGAAAACATTTGCCAAGCCCTCTTCTAGTCCAAAATACCTGTAATAATTCTTTCTGGCCAAGTGCAGTGGCTCATGCCTGTAATCCTAGCACTTTGGGAGGCCAAGGTGGGTGGATCACTTGAGGTCAGGAGTTCAAGACCAGCCTGACCACCATGGAGGAAACACGACTCTACTAAAAATACAAAAGTTAGCTGGGCATGGTGGCAGGCACCTGTAATCTCAGCTATTCGGGGCTGAGACAAGAGAATCACTTGAACCCATGAGGCATAGGTTGCAGTAAGCAGAGACTGTGCCACTGTACTCCAGCCTGGGTGACAAAGTGAGACTCCGTCTCAACAAACTATTTTATTTTCTTCATAGTAGTCAGCAGTATCTAAGTTTCTAAGTTCTCTCTCTCTCTCTCTCTTTTTCTCTCTCTCTCTCTTTATTTACTTACATATTTAAAATAATTTTCTCCACCAACCCTCCCACAATAAAATAGTAGGGCTATGAGAGTAGAGATTTTGTTTTGTTTCTTTCTCTATGCTCAGCTATTGATACATAATGAGCTTTTCAAAAGTTTTAAAAGTTTATTCTGCTTACATTACTGACATTAAACGTTTGACAAGTTGAAGCTATCTGAGAAATTGTTTGTATTGCTAATCTATATAGCCATTATTTTCTATCTCTGTTTTTTTCAAGCCATGATAAAATACACATAACATAAAATTTACTATCTTACCTTTTTTTTCTTTTTTTTTTTTTTTTTTTGAGACAGTGTCTCACTCCATTACTCAGGCTGGAGTGCAGTCGCACAATCGCGACTCACTGCAACCTCTGCCTCCCGGGTTCAAACGATTCTTCCGCCTCAGCCTCCTGAGTAGCTGGGACCACAGGCACATGTCACTACACCTGGCTATTATTATTATTATTATTATTATTATTATTTTTGGTAGAGACAGAGTATCACCATGTTGGCCAGGCTGGTCTCAAACTCCTGATCTCAAGTGATCCGCACATCTCGGCCTCCCAAAATCCTGGGATTACAGGTATGAGCCACTGCACCCAGCCCCAATTTTCTTTTTTCTTTCTTTTTTTTTTTTTCTTTGAGACAGAATCTCGCTCTGTCACCCAGGCTGCAGTGCCATTGTGCAATCTTGGCTCACTGCAACCTCTGCCTCCCAGGTTCAAGTGATTCCCCTGCCTCAGCCTCCCAAGCAGCTAGGATTACAGGTGCCTGCCACCATGCCAGGCTAATTTTTTATATTTTTAGTAGAGATGGGGTTTCACCATGTTGGCCAGGCTGTTCTCAAACTCCTGACCTCAAGTGATCCACCTACCTCAGCCTCCCAAAGTACTGGAATTACGGGCATGAGCCACTGCACCTGGCCTGCCCGGCCCCATTATTAAGTGTACAGTTGAGTGGTAGAAAGTACATTCACATTCACATTCACATTATAGTACAACCGTCACCACCAGCCATATCCAGAATTTTTTGCACCTTGCAAAATCAAAAGTCCACCACCTTTCTAATTTCTGTCTCTAGGAATTTAACTGCTCTAGGACACAAAGAGGCTTTTAATCAACATCCATCACATAAATAAATCCTGACTTATTTCTGCTTTGGTTGCCAGGACACTCAGAGTTAAATTTCTGTGCTTTATTGCCTAGATATCCTAACAAAATCCTCTCTTCTCTCTCTCTGTCTCTCCCTCTCTCTTTCTTTTTTTTTTCTTGAGACAGAGTCTCAATCTGTCGCCCAGGCTGGAGTGCAGTGGTACAATCTCTCACCGCAATCTCTGCCTCCCAGGTTGAAGCGATTCTCCTGCCTCATCCTCCTGAGTAGCTGGTGCCTGCCAGCATACCCAGGTAATTTTTGTATTTTTAGTAGAGACAGGGTTTCACCATGTTGGTCAGGCTGGTCTTGAACTCCTGACCTCAAGTGATCCACACGCTTCTGCCTCCCAAAGTGCTGGGATTACAAGCGTCAGCCACCACACTCAGCCTCTTCCCTCATTTTAGTATAGATTTTTTTATACAGATTTGAACTTGTAACCCCACTCAAGGAACACATTGAATCTAAGTTACCATCATTGTTTATGTTTCACTAAAAAACTCAGACACAGCATTTACTGTAAAATACAGACACATTATTATTTCAGAGGCTTCAACACCTGCAAATTGCATTGACGAAATAGGGTATGTGTTTTATTCCATAAGCCACAACAAACTGTTTTTCGAAGTGGTGGGAGGTGGTAAAACTCATAAGAGATCAACATCAAATCCATGTTTTCGGAGATGAAGCACCTCTTTTGAAGATATTCTTCCCCCAAAAAGTGACCCCACCTCAAAGTACAGGCTCACCAGCGGCATTGGAGGATGTCTGCAATATCCCAGCCATCCAAGAATAGAGAGCTCTCTGGGAATGAGCAGAGGTTTGGTCGTAGAGATCTTTGAACACCGCAGATCTAAATAACACAAACACAGGCATCGATTAGTAACAAGCAGGTAGGGGCTGCTTTAAAGAGGGAGGGAGTCATAACAGCAAGTGGGACCCAAAGCTGTCTTATGTTAAAACCCCTCTCCTGAATGTAAATTAGTTCAACCATTGTGGAAGACAGTGTGGCAATTCGTCAAAGATCTAGAACTAGAAATACCATTTGACCCAGCAATCCCATTACTGGGTATATACCCCAAAAACATAAATCATTCTGTTACAAAGATAAATGCACATATATGTCCACTGCAGCACTATTCACAATAGCAAAGACATGGAATCAACCCAAATGCCCATCAATGATAAATTGGATAAAGAAAATATGGTACGTATACCACTATAGAATACTATGCAGCCATAAAAAGGAGCAAGATCATGTCCTTTCCAGGGACATGAATGGAGCTGGAAGCCATTATCCACAGCAAACTAGCGCAGGAACAGAAAATGAAACACCCCACGTTCTCACTTATAAGTGGGAGCTGAACAATGAGATCACATGGACACAGGGAGAGGAACAACACACACTGGGGCCTGTTGTGGGGTCAGATGGGGAAAGGGAGAGCCTTACGAAAACCAGCTAGTGCATACTGGGCTTAATACCTAGTTAATGGCTTGATAGGTGCAGCAAACCACCATGGCACACATTTACCTATGTAACAAACCTGCACATCCTGCACGTGTACCCCAAAACTTAAAAATAACCCCCCCACTCCTTAGCTATATGTAGCTATTTTCCCATTTTCCTCTTCCCCTTCACAGCTAAACACCTTCCAAAGAATATTTTACACATATTGTCACCACTTCCTCACCTCTTGGTCCTTTCTTGGGGAGGTGGGGGACAGCTCTGTTGAGATATAATTCATACACCCTACAATTCACCCACTTAAAGTACACAATTCAATGGTTTTCAGCACATAAGAAAAAGCCAAAGATGTTCCTGATGGCATTATTTGAGTCTCTGGATCCAGCTGTGTCTGAAGTCAGCCCTATACCTAAAACTATTCAATTACATGTTCCAGTAATTCCCTTTTTTCTTGAAGCCAGTTTGAATGGGTTTTTCTGCCTCTTAGGTTTACTGCTCACTCAAATGAGCAGTACTAACCAATAAACTCTCTCCCCCAATGCTGTTCTCTTCCACAACCTGAATGAATAAAGGAGGGAGGAGACACTGAATTTAAAAGGAAGAGTGTAATAGCCTGCAGAGCAAAAGGGTTTCATGAGTATGTGTCTTAGTGAAAAAACTGACACCCTAGAGAAAAGATGAGGTCAGTATACTATCGGTTTCCCCTACTGTCCTTTGGCTGCAAAAGATAAAAGGAATCTTCTACATTGTTATCATCATATTGGTCTTTTCCTTCTTCTAAATCATTTTTAGATTTAGAAAGACTGTTTTACAGCCATAAAGTGCTACAATTAGTAAAAGGAGGGAGTTGGCAGTGGTTGCAATGCCTAGGGCTCTTGAAGTCCTAGACACAATCCTCTAATTTGGTTTACATCAAAGCGCAATTTCATGCAGGGCTAGGAGTAACCAATATAAGCTAGCAGGGCATCTCAAAAGGAGAAAAATCCTCCTTTTTCAGTGCTCTGTCACTCCTTTTGCTGTCCCTCAAGAAGTACATCTCAGTTTAGTGCCAGTGAGTCTTTAAAACACACTCAGATTGTTTTTAAATTAAGAGAACAAGACTCAGGTTCAAAGCCTTGGTGCTGTGGACTGAACGTTCGCATTTCCCCAAATTTCCTGTGTTGAAACCTTAAGTCCCAACATGACAGTATTAAGAGGTGGAGTTTTGAGAGGTGATTAGGTCATGAGGCTGGATACCTCATGAATGGGATTAGTGCCCTTATAAAAGAGATCTCAGAGGGCTCAATCACCCCTTCCACCATGTGAGGACACAGCCAGAAGCTGCCACCTATAAACCAGAAAGTGAGCCCTCACCAGACACCAAGTCTGTCAGCACCTTGATCTTGGACTTCCCAGCCTTCAGAACCATGTGAAATAAATGCTGTTTTTTATTAACTGCCCAATCTATGATATTTTTGTTATAGCAGCCCAATCTGATTAACACACTTAAGCAAGCAACATATCTAGCTAGGACTTAGTGACACTTTCTTTTCCACTGTATTTATTTATCTTTTTTTTTCCGAGACAGAGTCTCACCCTTTCACTTAGGCTGGAGTGCAGTGGTGCGATCCTGGCTCACTGTAACTTCCACCTCCCAGGTTCAAGCGATTCTCTTGCTTCAGCCTCTCAAGCAGCTGGAATTACAGGCGCCCACCACCACACGTGGCTAATTTTTGTATTTTTTAGTAGAGATGGAGTTTCACCATGTTGGCCAGGCTGATCTCGAGCTCTGACCTCAAGTGATCTGCCTGCCTCAGCCTCCCAAAGTGTTGGGATTATAGGCATGAGCCACTGTGCCCAGCTCCACTGTATTTATTTTTATGATGACTTTTACTTAAGACAAAGGGCAGTGGTTTCTCATTTATAGCAATGATACCAAATTTGCTCTTAAAATAAACATTTGTAAGTAAAAAAATTCATTACTATGAATAAAAGCATGAAGAAAATAGTAGTACAGGCAGTGTAGAGTTATGGCAAAAACTGTGAAGATGGTAGCAGAGTGACTGAAATTTGAGAGACACTTTTTTAATCAAATTCTATCTCAACTCTACAGATTGTTTGGTTTGGTTTTGAGATGGAGTCTCACTCTGTCACCCAGGCTGGAGTGCTGTGGCATGATCTCAGCTCACTGCAACCTCCACCTCCCGGGATCAAGTGATTCTACTGCCTCAGCCTCCCCAGTAGCTGGGATTACAGGTGTGCACCACCATGCCTGGCTAATTTTTGCATTTTTAGTAGAGATGTGGTTTTGCCATGTTGGCCAGGCTGGTCTCAAACTGCTGACCTCATGATCCACCCATCTCTGCCTCCAAAAGTGCTGGGATTACAGGCGTGAGTAATCCCAGGCATGAGTTGGTCTGGGATTACACCCAGCCCAACTCTACAGATTTTAAGCTTTTGCTCCAAAACATGCATATCAACCTGTCCCCACCTGTCTTCTCCTTGCTGCCAGGTGATACCTCTTTGAATTCTCACAACAGCCCCTGAAGGATAGTGTGATGAGTTAAGAAGGTAGGAGTGGCCAGGTGCAGTGGCTCAGGCCTATAATCCCGGCACTTTGGGAAGCAAGCCAGGTGGATCACTTGAGATCAGGAGTTTGAGACCTGCCTGACCAACATGTTGAAACTCTATCTCTAAAAAAATACAAAAACTAGCCAGGTGTGGTGGACATGCCTATAGTCCCAGCTACTTGGAATTGAGGCAGGAGAATCATATGAACCTGGGAGGCAAAGGTTGCAGTGAGCCCAGATTGCGCCGCTGCACTCCAGCCTGCGTGACAGAGTGAAACTCCATTTAAAAGAAGGAGGAGGAGAGGGAGGGAAGGGGGAGGGGGAGGAGGAGAGGGAGGGGAGGGGGAGG